TTTTATATACAGAAAAGAAAAATAGAATATTTCATTAAGAGCACACAACTATATTTAAATTATTGGACATTCAAAACATCCTACTAAAATAATGCTAAAAATAATTTTTTAGAGACAACTATAAGTTTGCTTTAATTTAATACATCGTTAAGTCTCTTGGTTCATTAAATACAAAACTAACCATATGGATAAACTAATATTTAAGATTAAACTTATTTTTCCTTCTGTACTTTCATAATTTTAATATTAAAATGATAACATTGTATTAATAACATGCTCATATAATAGAGATTAGAATATCATTTCAAATTTTGTCTTAAATTGATTTCCGTTATTTTTTATTAGAAATTTCAGCAATTTATTTACAATTTTTAATTAATATTACTTAAGTTGTAAAGTTTTGAGAAAAGCAATTTTGTGATTTGCAAATTTTATAACGATTTTGATAAATATATGGGTGGAATAAGCTATGAATAAAATGAAAAATATTTGTAAAAAGCCAAATAAAAAGTTTGAACTTCTTCCATCTGCCTAGAAAATTGAATTAGAACTTTCTTTTGTTAAAAAATATGTTTAGGGTAAAAATCCAATATATTCAAAAAAGTGTGCCAATTAAATGATTTTGAATATCTCAAAAAATTTATCTAAATTTTATCCTTTTATGATATTTATGTATTTAGAGTAATATAGCATTTAAATAATTTCTATCTAATTTTCTATGATTTAAAATTTACCAGTTATTGAAGAGATTAGAATTACTGCAGCAATAATTTAAATTTAATATCCACTAAATTTTATTATTGATTCTGTTGTTGATTATTCTTTAATAGATAAGAGATTTGGAGAAGGTAACTAAATTGATATTAACATCATTTATTATTTTGCATCATGCTAATTAAGAATAATACTTGGATCAGCAATAATTTTTTAAAAGTATTCTATTTTGATATTTATTTCTAAATTTACTAAATCAAATGGTTCTGATGTATTTGAATCAAATGAAACATTTACTTGAGTGTTTTCAACATTACCTGATAATGTGTTTAAGTATTTTTCTAAAGTACTATTGTTAGGCAGCTTTACATATTAATCATAATATAATGTTAGGATTTAACAATTTTGTATTTATTATATATATTTAATCTAAGGAGATGGATAGAAAATTTAAATGCATTCGTTTAGTTAAAAATACTGTTTAAAGAAGGTTGGCAATTCGAATCACATCCATCTCCATTGATGAAATTACCATCATCACAAAATTCATTTTAATTAATTAAGCCATCTCCGCAATAATACAAAATTATATTTTCTTAATTCTAATTATTAATTTAGGTCTGTGAAGATTAAATGCAAATATTATTTTAACAATTTACACAATTTTGAACATCACAAATTTATTTTGGTTGAGATTGACATACTTCATCTACAATTTAAAAATTATCCAAACAAGCAACACACTTATTTATTTCATTAAAATTTTACAATTTTTTTCATTAATCTTTTTACAATTCACACAATCAGTATTATTGATTTCATCGCACTCTTCATCAGGCATTGCAATTATTCCATCTCCACAAACATTAAAACAAAACCCAGTTTCTTTATCAAAATAATAACCTTTCTAACATGTAGAACCATCATCAGTACAAACTCCTTGAATGCATAATGGACAATGAGAATAACATGAATATTTGCAATCATAACAACCATCATATGGATCTAAATTATAATCTTCACATTATTCATTTTCAGATATAATACCATCTCCACCGAAATATTATATTCACTTTTTCAAAGAAGAAAAACTAAATTATAATAAGCTGTAAATCTATAATGTAATAAAAATAATAATTTAATTTGATTGTATCTCATAACATTAATTAAGGATATCGTTGTAGTAAAGACCTTTTTCTGGATTACATTGCACTTTAATGTTACACTCATTTGTTTATTTAATTAATAAATAATCTTATTCACATTTTTGACAAAATCCAAAATAGCATTCTTTACAGTTATCTTAACATTAAAATTTGGAAAGATTTATTGTAAGACTCCGAAAAAAAATATGAGTACTACAGTTTACAGGAAATAAATTTAGCAGCAAAAAATCTTTAAACATAAGAAAAATTATAAAATTTGATAACTAATTTGGAGGATTTGGATTATGATATTCCTTATTTATTCAGATAATTAAATGAAGAAGGAGATGATGATATTGAAATTTAATTAATATAATAGTTGATGAGTTATTATGCTGGAGATTTTACATTTTCAAATAAAAATAAATAAAAAGATCAAACAAATGAAAATATTCTAATATCTTTTAAATAACTTGTAGTAAACTTAATCAAACGAGTTTAAGGTTCTGATGAATAATTGAACTTTTTAATAAATTTAATTTATAATCCAAAGAGTTTAAATAAAGATAATATTTATAAAATCTGGGAAAAAGGAAAAAATTCTATTTTTATTGGTATCATAACTATATAAGTAAGATTAAGTTTAGAGAAATTTAGGAATATAGGAGAATTTAAAGATTAAGCATAATTAATTCCTAATTCTTATTTATATTAATCAATAGGAGATGATTATACAATGAAAAAAGAAGAAAATAAATATGATGATGATAATGCTAAATAACGAAACGATAAAATACTTAATGCAGCCTTGAGCTTTTTAATAGATGATAGTTTTAATATTTAGGAGGGTCTAAAATTTCCCTTAAAAATTCTATTCAGATGCTTTCTTGGAGATGTTGAAGCTTGGTATACCTTAATTAATTCAATTTGAGAAAATGAAGAAACAAAACTTTAATTAGAGTTATAACCATTTTTCACAAAATTTTTTTTAAGATTGTTGATTTCATTACAAAATGAACGGAATACTAATATAACATAAGAACAAATAAAATCAACTTCATTATACGAATTATTCAAATAATATACAGAATATGATTTATTTTAATTAATTAAAACTTCTTTAATGGATATGATTTATCAAAAATAATAGAAAATAGATTAAAATATTAAAGATGAGTAGATAAGAAGTCTAAAAGAGTTTTGTCGTAATATTTTTCAATACTTTGATTGCATAGTATAGTAGATCTTCTTATAGATTCCGAAAAAGATTAGTTTTAACAATTTTTTTACTAAATGGTATTCTAAGAACATTATTATTATTATCATCATTATGATTAATTAAGCTAATCCAATGTAAGTTACACATTAAACCTTTTATTATCAAGTAGTAAAGAAACCATTATATATTGACTACGAAAACAACATTAAAGTATTATAAGAAGAACAGAATAAGGGAGCTTAGATATTTATTAAGGGAATGATTTTTACTGATTATTCAAAAGATATTAATATTGCAATAGACCATTTATATCAATTTTTTGAAACCTTGTAAATGGAGGAGTTTAATCATTACCCGCAACTTTTAACAACAATAAGTCTCTACAATTCTTATTAAGATTAAGATTAGATCACTAAAAAAGAAGAAGTTCTATCATATCTATTATTTTGGATTAAAAAAATGAATAAGTAAAATGAGGGGTTATAAGTTACAATAGAAGAATTTAAATCAATTTATAAGTCCAAAAAAAAGAATATGTTATTTAAAAAAGGAATTTCAACAGATCTTATTAAATTACTTTTTACGAATGAAAATTTAATTCCCAATAAATAAATTATTGTTATGAATAAACATCTTTTAAATTTTTATTCTAATATATAAAATTAAAATTTAGATCTTTTATAGATTATTTAATTAAGATTAATTTAAAAAGTTTTCAATAAAATTGATTAAGAACATTAATTATAAATGAATTTTATTTAAAAAGTGATTGATATGGAGGAGTAGATACATTAAAAAATTGAAGAATAAGCAAAGCCTCAAGAAAATAGCGAAAAAATATAGTTATAAGAAATTAAGTAAGTCATATAGAACCTGTTTGAACTGCCAGAAAGAATTGATCTAGAAAATTAAATTTTAACATTATTATATGAGTTTTAAAAATCAAAAGATATTGATTGCTGAAAATCAATAGTAACATATATAATAAATTAATAATTAAAAGAGAAGAATATTTTATAAGATCCAATAAATTAATTATTAGATATAGCTTAACAGTTAAAGGATTAATAACCTAATGTAGAAAATGAAAATTGACAAACTTTCAGAGGAACAACTAAAAAGAAAAATAGATTTAATTTTGGAGAAGATTTTTATTGAAAAAGATAAAGTATAGGAAAAGCTATAATAATTGCAAGCATGCACAAAAACTATTATATCAATAAAAAATAAACGTTTTTCAGAAATTTCAACTGAATTTTATATATTATTTGACATTAAAGATTTAAATAGAACAAATATCGGATATTTTATGTAAGATTTTCATAATTTAACCCAAATATTTACAAATTTGATAAATGAAAAACTGAATTCTATGGTTAATTTAGATTTATTCAGCTATTACAAAAATTTAAGTAATGTTTAAAAGAAGATTGAAGAAAACATTGATTTAAGCTATCATGATCTATTTAAAATTCTAGACAAACAAGGCAGGAGAGTTGTAAAGCCTGGAGATCTTTTATAATTTTTGAAAAGACTTCCTATTGACATCACACACCATAGATTAAGAGAAATATTGGTTAAAATTAAAAGGGAAGTAATAAATATGGAAACATGTTTAATTAATTTTTAGGAATTCAAAGAAATAATGTAATAGTTGAATAAATAGTCTATACTTCTTAGTTTAACCTATCTTGGAATTTCAAAGTAATAATTATTTGTCGCATTATTGGTAACGGTTATATATTTAGGACTTGTACTCACATTTATTTTAATAGGGGTTTAAGCTTTAGCAATTCCTGGTACATTTGCAGCAATTATTAATGCTATATTGCCTATGATTGGAGGCTTTGGATTAAATAAATAATCAAAAAATAAATAGATTAGGACAGTAAATTAGAATACAATTATGGAATCTGTAAAGAAAGCTATCAAAATTATATCTGAAAAAACAATTTGAAAAATTAAGCATTTTAATATTCAAAAATATAACTGTTATTATCTTTTTTAAATATATATATAATGTTATTTTTATTAATTCAACTATTATAAATAGGATATTGTTAAAATAACTAAATAAACAAGAAAAATACTTTATATTCAATTATAACATTTACAATAATAAGTATATTTTTATTTTATTTTGAATTAAAAGTCAAAATGAAAACTTTGCTTGTCTCCGTATATTCGGTCTGATTGGGGATGGGCTTAGATCTTCTAAAAGTGAGTCGACCAAAGTGTTCAATTTTATTCTTTAAGTCTAATTTTCTCAAGTAAATTCCAATTTATTGTGAGATAGATATTTACTTATCAAAGTAAATGTTGGAAATAACTAAAAAAAATCTTAATCTTTATGGAAAATTAATTTTTTCTAAATGGATCTAAAAACTATCTTAATTTAAAGAACTATAACACCCACATTATAAAATATTTTTATTTGAAAAATTCATTATGTTTTTTATAGATCCAAATATACAACTGTTTTTTTATTATTTATACATTATTCAAAGTGCTTCTTAATTCACAATAATATCAAGTTTAATACCCGTTACTAATATCTAGAATTTGAATTTTAAAATATAAGAATTCGTTGGCATTCCTTTAAATGATATTCTTCAAACTTATTTAATCAATGAAAGATAAAGAATTGATAGATTTCTACACAAAGTTTATTAATAGATTTCAAAGTTTAGCTCTATTTTTATTTTCAAAATATTTTTGATAGAACTTATTCATGAAAATAAATAAAAGTTGATTAGAAACATTTCATATTTATGTGCAAGGTATACAATCTAAAAAACTCTAATATGTGTGTATAAATTACTTTTAACTTTCATCCTTGAATATTTAATTTAGCAGCTTTACTAGATATTTATGAGGGTTTTTTTTCATTATTGATCTCCAAATCCAAGTATGAAAAGTATTTAGCCTATATAAGTTAGAACACCTAACCTTTATTTTAGTTTAATTACATTATTGTTAAACAAGGTTAATCTGAAATAAGAAAAAAAATTATCTAGATTATATCATTTATCCTTTATTAATTGTATTCATGTTTTTGATTTTTGATACTTGCTTCTAAAGATATCAGCTTTTTTTGATCTATAGCTGAATCTTTTTGATTATTCAACATAATTAAATAAAGGAAAACTAATTTTTATTTCTATTGCTACTTAGGATAAGAAACATGATATTCAGCTTTTTTTTCTTCTGCTGCCTTCAGATTGATAGTCATATCAGGTTATTCATTAGAATTACTATTTAAATTTAAAAAGTTCTGGAAATTTTTAGTACCTGCAAATTGATGAAGATTTCTTTTTTCTTAGATTAGCAGCAGATACACTGATAAAGTTTATATAAATTTCTATTTGTGCAAACTAACTGATGAACTTGTATAAAGATTGGTATTATAGGATTGAATTGCAAGATTTAATTCTCCAGCTATCTAGTTCAGAAATTTTTTAAATTCTTTAGATTCATCTAATTAAGTTCTTATAATCACTTTTTTTTCTAAATTTATTTATATTTTATTTTTTGTTAGAAGTGAAAGTAAATTTTATTTTTAACTCCGTTTAATTATTAATCTACATTTTATGCAAACTCTAATTGCTGTAATAATGTATGATTAATATCTAACTAGAGTATAAATTTATCATTAAATCTCATAGCTAAAGTCTTTTGTTAATATATCTAAAAATTATCAATTGTAATCTTTTGCTTCTCTAAATTTATTGATTATTTTAGTTTTTAAAGCTTTAATTAATATTGATGAACTGAAATCAGTTTGATATCGCAAACATGTTTAATGCTGATCCATTACTTTCATATACTATTCACAACTTTAAGTGACTAATGATATAAGTTAGTTGTTAAGAATCAAGGTTTGATCTCCATTTTGAATTTGTATATTTGTAAAAAAAATTCCCATAGAATTGATGCTCATAATGATACAATTTCAAAATTGATCTTTAGCTTATTTTAGGTAGGGGCTTCTGTGATTTTTGAATTTAAGAAATGAATTTCAATCATTCGAACAAGTTATAAGATATATAAATACTCCTTTATTTTATTAGAAATAAATATAACCTCCATTAACATTATAATATAAATATATTTTTACAAATTCTAAATTCCTTTTTAAGAACCAAAAACATTAGAAATAGCTTATTGATTATTCATAAATATTATTAGACTTTCTTTATCATCTGTTTATTCTGCCAAAGACTTACTCATTAAATAAGAACCTTAGAGAATATTCAAATTAATTTAAGTCTCTTATTCTATAATCAATTTAGACTAATCATTAGAATGCTAGTAAACACAATCTAAATGAAAGTGAAACTCCATTCTTAAACATAATATATAACAGTTCTTTTATTTTATCTTTATTTGAGTACCCATTAATACATAGCCACTTTTCTAACTAATTTAATGTAATCTTTCATTGATAAACTAAAAGCAGCATCAATTATGAGATCATTAAGCTTTCACCTAATAACGTAATATAGTTTAAGAAGTATCATTTATGTGAATCAATTAATAATTAGTATTAGGATTTGCTTCTGCAGTAATTGAATATCTACTATTATTATGTATTAAATTAAAACTTCTCTAATTGTACCATAATAAGATATATGCCCCCAAAAATAGCTATGATTAGATTTTTTCTAATGACTAGAGTGAAAATGCTTATTTTCATTTTCTAACTGTTTATATAAAAACACCTTATATTTTAAATCTCAAATAATTGATTGCATTAAATTATGAGATTATTAAAGCAAAAGTTGCAGAGGCAAAAAAGCTGTGATTTTATTAGTAATATCTTAATATAATTTAAATTTATTACTTATAATAATAATTATAATTGCATTAAGATTATTTCTATATTTATGTTGCAATAATATTTAATATTATTTTTTAATATTCTGAATTTCTTCATTTGAACCATTTAAAAAGAAAAATAAAGAAATTTTTTAGTAATAAAATAATTGGAAATATATATTATAATTAATTGAGAGAGAATAAAAAAAGTAATTATAAGTACTTAACAAATTTCTTTAAGCATATTTTTTTACATGAACAATTAAAATTTGACTATTTTATTATAAGAACTTTGCAAATAAAATTTATATTGATAAAATTAAAACTAATTTAAAAGTACTCTTTAGATTTCAAGTTCTAACTTCTCCTTAATTCTCAACAATTATATAAAATTGAGATTAAATAAAACAGTTTAGTAATAAAATATCATAAGTTAGAATAAATTTAGTCGATTCAAAATTAGCATCATGAGGAGATCTGATAATCAAACCTTACATAATCTCACAAAATCGCTAATCTTGAATAAAGTTAATTCCTTTACATTAAATTTTAATTTATAGTTTAAGTAGAAAGTTTTTGATAATCAAATATGTTAGCAAAATAAAATTTCATTATTAGTTGTTTTAATTAAGTAAAATAAAGACTTATATCAAGTTATTTTGAATTATAATATATCCTTCCTGCAGTTGTAAGAGATTAGATTTAAATATGTATATTTAGCGAATGATGACTAATATCTAAATAAGAAATATAGTATTGTTATGTTAAAAAATTGAAATTCATACTTTTGTATTAATTTTCAGGGATAGTTAAATATAAATACCTAATTCTATTTAAATTGATATATTCTAATAAATAACAAGTGAGTAAAAAAATTATTTTAATTAGAAAAAGATGAAAGGATATTTTTCAGAAAATAATATTAAAAGAGTATAATTAAATTACTTATAAATAACAGTGATATATTTATTTATTGAAATAAGCCTAAATGCCTCACATAATATGTAAATCAATTTAAATATGAAAACTTTAATTCTCTATATTAATTTTAGAGTATAGTATCTTAATACATATATAAATTTATCTTGATGATGTTAAAAGAATTTAACTGAAGTAATTTTTAATAATTTATTCAATGATTAACGATATAAAAAACAATTTACCTGAGCTTTAATTTTCAAATTGAAGTAGAATTGAAGTCAAAGAAATTAATAAGTGAAAATCAGGATAATAGCAGAACAAAATTAAAAATGGTATTTTATATTCAAAGATTTGAGATTTAAATATAAATTAAACGAAAAAATGGCATTATCAGAGAAAGATACTTCTTTCAAAAAGATTTCTAAATATTTATCCAATAATTTAATGTATTTCAATTATGTTATTAAATTATTTTTCTATGTGATGCAATCTATATTTATTTATTTAATTTTAACTGAATCAAGTGTATGGTCCACAATAGCAAATTTAACATGGTAAAAGTTATGCAATAAAGAAATAGGTAAAAGTATTGATGCTAATATTGTTTCTATTCTGCAACTCTAATTCAAATATTTTGTATTAAAATTTCAATAGCCATACATAAATAAATGGTAGATGTTATGTTTAATTTTAGATTGGGGTTTAAATTAACACTAATGTACATGTAATTGTTTGGCCACAATATCAGTTTGCAACGCTCAATCAATCCTAAAAATAAATTAATGCGATTAAGCTTATGAATATAATATATTGATTTACAAAACTTTTGAGTTAAATCCACATTATGAAATAAGCCTTTTTTTTAAGTTTTGGAGGTATTTGTAATTCAAAATTTTAGAATTGATGAATGGAATAATTATTAATTTTATGTGTATGTTGATTACTAAATTATACACTAAGCTACTTATTTTAATAATTAAGGTACAAATAACTTATGTGAGGATGATTTGATAAATGATGAAACTTATTTATTGTCAAAAACTTTAGAGCATTCAAGTCCAACTGTTACAATAGTAATCGTTTCTTAAAAGGGAACTTGGGGTATTTCTGATTTTGAGTTACAAATTGAGGAATGCCCTCCAGGATGCAATTTCTGTAATAATAAAAAATGTTTTGACTACAAATTAATAATTGCTTAGTTTGTTTAGAAGACAATTAGTACAGTATCAATTTTAGAGGGATGGTCATATAATAATTTAGTTTAAACATCTGCATCATTCTGCATAGGTATTTTTATAAATATTTTAGATTTTTTCTTTCATTATGTTTCTGGTACTCATTTAGTAAAAGAAATTTCATTAAACAGGCATTCAAATATAAGCTTTTAAATAAAAATTATTATTAGAAATTCAAGTCCTACAGAAATTAATGTAAAAATTGATGAGAATGTTGTATATACAACTCAGTATAATGAAGGATGGATAAAATTTCCTGCTGGGTTATGTTAATATATATCATTAAAATCAATTCTAATAATGGATTATATTCATTCAAGTTCATCGGTAAAGATTAAAGTCTAAGGTAATAATAATGTATAATTGATTGGAATTAGAGATTTTCAATTATTTATTAATGAAAATAGCAATGAGAAAGAGATATGTATGGATAAGAATATAAATGCTTTTGATGGCTGCTTTGCTTTTAATTATGATTGTGTAGAAGGTTGTAAGAATTGTATTAAAGGTGTTTGTTTGGATTGCTTAATAGGATGGGAATATAAAATAAACGAATAATATTGTTATCCAATTTGTGGTGATTAGATAATCACTCAATTAGAAGAATGTGATGATGGAAATACTATCCCTTATGATGGTTGTCATTAATGTTTTTATTCATGTCCATTATTTTGTTTGTAATGTATATTTGGACAATGTTTTTAATGTGATTCTTAATATCAATTATCATTGAATAAAAAATAATGTCTATCTATTTATAATGATGATATAATGACTCCATATAAATTGTAAAATGATATTTTATTTGAAGAATATTATAATTAAAATCAAAATTGTTAAATAGAATGTTAGCTTTGTATTTATAATTAATGTATTCTTTGTTTGGAAGGATGGATATTGAGAGATAATAAATGTTATTAATAGTGTGGAGATGGAATGGTAGCTCTATCATCAATAGAATAATGTGATGATGGTAATCAAATAGAAAATGATGGATGTTTTTAATGTTAATTTCAATGTATTCCTAATTGTTTTTCATGCATCAATAATAATAATTGTTTTATTTGTAATGATTATTTCTAACTTGAAAATAATTTATGTCAACCTATATGTGGAGATGGTGTGATTATTAATGGATTTGAAGAATGTGATGATGGAAACAATTATCCATTAGATGGATGCTATTAATGTAAATTCTAATGTTCTGATCATTGTATTCTATGTGAAAAAGAAAACTATTGTAGTTAATGTGATAATCTTACCATATTAGATAATATAACTATGCAATGTATTCAATTAAATAGAGAAGAGTAAACTTTAAATCAAGAAATTAAAATTTAGACTGATATAAACAATTAAAATCAAATTTCAGATCTTATTCATTTATGTGGGGATGGAACAATCAATTCCTAAAATGAATAATGTGATGATGGTAATACCATTTCTTTAGATGGATGTTCTAATTAATGTGAAATAGAAAAAGATTGGAGCTGTTTAAATTAACTCAAACATAGTTAATGCTTTATTAATACTTCTTTTACTTTAACATTATTAAAAAATAAAAATTAAATCTAATATGTCTAATTATCTTTTACAAATAAAGTTCGTTTAAAAGAATCTACATAATCCTTTTTGGATAATTTAAGATATTTTATTTATGATATTCCTTCAAAATTATATTATATTAAAGTTAAGGAAGTAATCTCAATAGACTAATTTATATTAAATTATCCAATCTATGAATTTGAAATAAGGTTTTATGAATCATAAATTAATTAACCCATCTTAAAAGTATCAATTAATGCAAGTCTATTAGATTATAATAATTTTTAATTAGAAAACAATGAAAAAAGTCTTAATTTATAAATTCCAAATATTTTAACTGAATTTTAAATGGCTACAGCAATCAAACTCTATACATTTTCATTTTGGATGATGATTGGATTAGGTTCAGGTAGTTTTCTCCTCTTAATTTTTGGGGATATTGCATCTTTTACTGAAATATTAGATATTCTTCAGTATCAATCCTATTTGAAATATATAAATGTTAATTTCCCTGATAATGTTCTGATTTACTTTGAATCATCTGAAATAGTAACTATTGCACCTATTTTAAATACTTTAAAAGTAACTCCAGTTTTTGATAAATTAATTGGTGAGAATCATATTGATAGTGTTAATAAACTTTATGAATATAATTTAAATGCAGATTTATTAATTAATATTTACGGTTAAATCATTCAAATAATAATTTGTTTAATAATTTATTTCCTCATTACTTATTTAAGCAAATATATTTAAAATTGTTTTTCTCCATCATGTTTATCAACAAGATAGAATTGTAACAATAAATTCATTGAATGGATTATAATTAAGAGTTTTTTTTTTTTTGAAAAGTTGAAACAATTTGGATCTTCTTTGAATTTTAAAGAAACATTATTGTAAATTTTTTATGCAAATAGTTGGGATCTAATTTTCAAAGTTTTCAATTATTTAGTTTCAAAGAAGAATTATGAAATTAGAATAAGAACCATTATTTCAAATATATTAAGTATTGTTTGGTTAATTATTGTGGTTATTATTTTGATTTCTAATTTTTAACGCCAGAAATCAATGATGAAATTAAAAGAATTAAGATATTAATAGCATGAAGTTATAATCTTATTAAAAAAACTTATTTTTCTGATTGTTTTAATTTGTATTTAAAGTGAACCAATTTTTTAATGTGTTATGCTAAGTACTTTAATACTTTGTTATATTGGTTTAATCAAAATAATTAAATTTACATCAGTAGTTGATGTTATTTTTATCATTTGGTTATAAGCTCCTGTAATGATTTTTACCTTGATCAGCCTAGCTTATTGTCATGAATTTCAGAGATATATAACAACTGATGTCTATTTCTAATTAGGATTTATTTAAATTAGCATTTTAATCTTCGGTTTGTTTGGACCCTTAATAAAGTGTGGAATATTATGTTATCATAATGCTAAGAAGTTATTTCCGAAGAAAAAATAAATCGAGAAAGCCTAAGAAATAAAGATTTTCACATAACCATGAATTTTTTATGTATGAATCAAATAATTAATTTTTAATATTATTATCATATAAATTGTCATTCATTCTTGATGAATGTGATAATTACCTGAACTTATTATATTTCTATTTTAAATGCACCAAAGCTTTTGAACGAGATCATACTCCCTTACAACATTAAAGTTAAATATCTATTAAAATATATGGTGAAATATATCAATTTATCATCCAAAATTATACATTCCTGTATATTTTAAAAATCAAATTTCTCATTCCCTTAATGGATAATCTGATATAATGCATAATCCTATTGTGTATTTAAAAACTGCTTTACACTTTCTTAATTTTTCAACTGAAAAAAATTGGATTTTTTTTAGGATTTAATTCAATTTGAGTTAAATTTCAAATTTGTTCAGAAATAAAAATTAGAGCTCCATTGATGAAAGTTGTTAATTTGATTAGAAAAGTTTTCAATAAATATAATTAGAAGTTGTTTTCGATATGAATCTTTTAAAATTTAAAATTTTACTTTAGAGAAAAATACTTTATTTTAGCCTCTAAAATATACAACATCTCAAAATATATTCTAATTTTTAGTTTAAGACAACTAAATTTACATGGATAAGCTTTCATAGGTATTAATATTATACAATCAAATTTTACTCTATGTTATTATCTATTATTTAGTATTCAATTTATGAATGTTGAAGTATTAAATTATTCAAAAAAAATGATAGGGTGTTTTCTTAAACCTATTCGTTGCAGTTAAGATTTTGGAAAAGATTTTAAAATCAATAATAATACATTATATTAACAATGCTGAGTAAGTAATTAAATTTAAGGAAAGAATTCTAGATATTTTAATTATTTTTTTATATTTTAATTTCTAACAATGAATAAATTTTTCGCCTCTATTTAAATCTAAAACTAAGTATTATGTCTTTTAATTTTCTTTAAAATTCTAGACTTAAATTTTATTATAATTGCCTTTCTAATATATGTATTCTTTTAATGCGGAAGATTCCTCTTAATTTGTAATATCTGTAGCTAATCAAAAATATTTTATGAAGCTTAACTCTTCTTATTAACGAAATTTAAAATTAATAAGTATGTTTAGTCTATTCATTAGTTTTGAATTATTATATACCTTAAAATTGTGATTAAAATGGTTTTAAAGATGAAAAATTCCTTTATGAAATTAGAATGTGCTTTAAAATTGATTTAAAACTTTAAGACAATTAAAGTCTTTCATCATTTCTTTAAAATCATATTCCTAAACTATTTTATATTTTATAGATTAATCTTTTTATGAGTCTTGCTTATTTGTAATTGATTGAGATATAATTATTGCTGACTAACACTTTTAATTACTTTATAAAAAACTTATAAAAAAGATATATAGTAAACTAATTTATCGTAAACAAGATGTGATTTCTAATAATAAAGGAGATAAAGCCTTTTTTAATTTTCATAAATACTTAGACTTCATAGTTCTCTATTCTCTTTGCGTAAGTTCATTTTATTTTTTCAATAGTTCATAAATTATGAGATATAAATCTTTAAAGTTAATATAAAATATTTAAATAAATATTCTAAAGTTATAATATAATTATTTGATGTGTCAACAATAAATTTATATTTCCTTTTCAATAATAAGCATCTCTTATTTTTTTTAATGATTAAAATCAAAACTTATAATTTAATTTTAACTAATGATTGAGATGTTAGCAAAACAGTTAAGGATCTTTTTAAATGATTATTCAATATTTTTACTATTCTAACTAAAATTTTGATACACATATATTAAATGATTTCTCAATTTAGCATAATTTTCTGATAACTTTTATTCTTTTTAATTCCGTTTATGGAATTAAATGTTTAAACATTTAGTTATAAAGGAAATTCTAAGTTTGTTTAGATTAATTAAGAATTCAAAATAATAAGATAGTCTATCATATTTACTAAATAAATAACATAAATTAATTTTTTTACTTAAATTGACAGGTTTTTTTTTAAGTGAATTTTTTTATCTAATATTTATTACTATTATTTGAAGCATAAACAATTTCCAAAAAGAATTGCCCCTCATAGTCAATCATTATCTGTTGTTCAAGTAATTAAAGTAATATAACTAGAACATGTTTCTTAATGTAAATTTTCCATATTGTATCCTTTTTCCTTCCAAACATAATCCCAAAAATAAACTTTCAACCATTTTTTTTGTCTTTCTCGCCCATCATTCTGTATTTAAACTTTGCAATCAGTATCAGTTAATAAAAATACAAAGTAATTGAAGCCTATTAAGAAGTATTTGTAAGAAATATGCATTCATTCACTTATCCAAGTAAAACAACCTTTATATTAAATTACACGTTGCTTTTTAGGTAATAAATAGTTTTAAATTTTTTGGTTGCATAATTTGAATCCAATTGTAAATAGCGCAAAATTTATCTGTCAAATTATTTCAATTTATTTATCGAAGTGATTTGCAATTATTTAACTACAAGATAAGTTGTACCATCTCAAATAAAGTAATTTTCTTTTTAGAATGCTACAAAATAGTACTTGCTCCTTCTTTATTTAAATTACAACCAGAATTATAATTATTACATATTTAATTAGTCAGATTTGCTCTAATTGTTGAAAAGCAATTAGAGAAACCACTACAACTGTAACTTCAAAATGGCATCTCTTTTATATATGATAGAGTAAATTGTAAGGAACATTAATGTTAAATGAAGTACAAATAGAAGCTAATATTAAACACATTATAGAAGTATTTTAATCTTATAGAGAATTTATATACTTTTTGAAGGAAATCTTTAATAAAACACCTATAAAAACGATTGTCTCAAATGGTTATTTGAGCATAAAGTTAGATTGATTTGAGAAATGATATCATTACTAGAATTTTAAATGAATAATTACTCTCTCTTTAATACCTTTATCAATATTTTATACAAAAGTATTTAGCATAATCTAAATGCTCTTGTTCATACTCTTTTTGATTCTTGATTTACTATTATTTTGTTAAAATAAGTAAATCTTTAATGTTTAAAATAGATAAAAAATCTCACATATTTTTAAAGTCTCATTTAATTTCTTTCAAGCATTGATCCATTTTATAAGTTCCCTTTATTGATAGATCTCGCGATTTAATGATGTTGTATTTAAAATTTCATCCATAGACTTTGCCATGGTGCCATAAATTGGATTTATTAATATATCACCTCACCTTATTACAGAACAAGGTGTGATTAGTTAGAATTCTTTAATAAATAAATAAAATTAATCACTAAATATCTTCATTTATGATCCTAAATATTTTTAACTCCCAAAAGATGTATTAGATTATTTGATGTATATAAATGAGATATTAGATTCTTAAAAGAATTCTTAATTCTCAATATATATTCTTTTGTATTATTCATTTAATTTAAATGCAAGGTTCCTTATGTCTTAGATCAACTCTTTTTTGCTTTTTACTTTAATTAGATTTTAATATTTATTTTTATTCTTAACCCATTGAACTATCCATAGATTCTATATTCTCTGACATCTATTTTTCTAAATTTATCCTCTATATCATTAAATAATTAATCGTATTTTTATGCCATTATCCAACGATCATACATAATGATCATAATCTATAATAAAATTCCAGATTGTAGATTTCAATTCTATTGATAACATATATGGAGTAAAATTAATTCACTATCCTTTATATTCTCATATGAAAAGAGATCTAACATACAAAGAAGTTAAGATTTAAATATTAAATGATAAAATTATTGTTACCTAAGTATTGAATAACAAAATGGTGTTAGCTCTAATACTTTTGTAAGCTTATATCTTTGATTCATGAATTATAAATTCATTTAAAAAAAATAAAAAATGTCACAGATTTTTTTTTAAATTATAAAAATAAAATTTAACAATCGAAATATTTTAAAATAATCTGTCTATTTAAAAATGCAGTAGAAGATGATATCTGCTCTTCAATTTTTCAAACTAGCCAAAATAAATTAAGTTTCAATTCAAGAAATATTAATTATATTAACTTAATTTTTGGTAAATGAAATATTTATTTCTTCAGAAATTTTTAGAAAATGAAAAGATAATTAATAAAAAATTGATTGAATTAATAATAATAAGATACAATAGAAAATTTAATGTTATAAAGTTTTTTTTGGACAAGTTAGAAGATAAGATAGTAAAATAAAGTAAAGTTGAAAATAGAAAACTAAAATTTCAATCAGATGAAATTAACGAAAATCTTTAAATTGGAATTTGTTTATAAATTTTTATTTCCAGAGGATCAAATTAACATTTTTACAAGATATTAAATTGATAGCTTTAAAAGCTTCTAAATTTTAATAATCATCCCAATTATAAATAATTAATTTCATTAATTGTTCAGCTTGTTTATAAAGATTTTCCATTTTACTTTTCATTTATATACTCTCCTTGAATGAATATTAGGTCATTTCTAATATTAGCCTTGGCTTATACAGCATAAGATCAGTAATTAAAAAATATACTTATTAAATTTAATAATATAATGAAACTTAACAAAGGGAGTGATTAAAAAATTAAAGATTAATTGTTCATAATTAAATGTATATAAAGAAGCATTCTTCTGAATATATAATAGTCAACTTCAATTCATTCTCCATCCTTTTTTCTTATTTTATCGCAATCTCCTCCTCTTCTTTTAATTAATTTAATTTTTTTTTTTTATAGAGCTAAACTTCCCAAGTGCATTAATAATTTTTTTAAAATGATGCTTGATTATCCTAAATATATCATTTATAATATATCAATGTAAATCTAATTAATTTAAAACATTTTATTCGATTCTGGTAAAATTTATAATATTCCAAAAGAATCTATTACTAAATTTATCAAATATATAAGAATCTCCTCAATTAGTTAGTATTTGGTCATAAAAATCCAAATTAATTATAATCAAAGAAATTAACAAACAAAAATATTGTTAAAAATTTTATTGCATATAAGCTAGAAATTTTTTCAATACAAGCAAGATATACTGGTTTAGTAAATATATAATTTTATTTTAGAAAATGAAATATTTCTTTTTTCTGATGTTTATTTGTTCTCCAAATTATCTAATTCTTCATATTAATGATTCGAATGTCATTCATCAAAAGGTAATAAAAAAATTTGCTCAAATTTTTAAAAACTCCTAACTATTACTTTTATTTGAGATCTTGAGCAATTTAGCTGCTCAAAAGTAAATCATAAAAGTACTTCTTCATTTCTTACCACATTTACCTAAAATCTCTTTTTTATATTGATTTTTCAAATTTTAAAGTCTCATAATAATTCCATAATTGTGGTCTTTAATTATTTATCTTTTTATTCATTATAACAATATGTTAAAATGAATTAAAATGACTTAATCTTGTAATTTCTTCAACAACACATTAGCACAAAGAACAATAAAGATTCTGATCTTTGTTCAACCAAATAATTTTATTTAATAAGTCTTCCTTTTATTTATCAATTAAATTCTAATCCAATTATACAGCCTTGATATCAGGATTTGAGTTATCTTACATTTTTTAATTTTTTATTTTAATTAATGTTTTTAACATGTTACTTTATTAATATTATATATTCCAAAAATAATATGACTTTTTTTAGGGAAAAGGTATATTATATTCGGATAATAATGAGATAAAATAATGCAAAATTTGAATTTTAATTTGTTAAAAGATTTTTGGTTTTTTAACCTAAGATATAATAGTGTTACTTTAGTTATATTAATTAATTTTGAAACCAATTTATATTACATTTAAATAACTAGCATAAGCAATTAAATTATCAATGTACATATAGGTTAATAAATAGGTTAGAAAAATAATTATATAAGTCTATTTTATAAATGTTAATTATCATCGCATAGAAAGCAAAAATTAATTTATATTTGGAAGAAAGTTCAATAGAAACTAAATAAATTTGTCCTATTATACTTTCATATTTATGTTCTAATTTAATGGACAATCAATTTTTCATAACTTCAACTCAAAGTGAAATAATAACAATTCCGTTGTCAAAAATTTTTTTACATCTTCTGATAGTAGAAAAGACCTCAAATCATAGGGTAAAGGGTTAAACAATTTTGAGAACCATAACATTTAATGCCTATTCTACACTTTTGTGAAGGAATTTATTATTGTGAATATGACTTAAATTAATACTCTACCTTTCCTCAATTAGATGCTATATAGTTTATAAAAATGAAGTATTTTTTTAAAATATGTCAACTCTTAACAATGCACAAGAGAAAAAATTCATAATGTTATGATATTGCTTTGATGGGATCTTTGGTTATAATATAATGTTCTGATACTAACTAAGATTACTTTAGTATTTTACCAATCAATCAAATCTCTTTAGATTACCTAACTATAGAGAAGCCAAATTTTTCTTTTAGTAAAATAAATATGATTGACTAATACCTTATAGGTAATACTATTTATAAATTAGAACTTTATGAAGAAAAAGATTTAGGACTTTAATTTATAAATAGTTTAGACTAGAATGCTTTCAGAACTTTATTATAGACAAAAAAACATTCGAATTATAAATAAAAGATTTCTAAGCTCATACAAATGTATAATGAATGAATCTTGGGAATTAATTATTTTTAGTATAAAGAAGATTAGTAGTATTTGATTAATTTAATTGAAACATAGATTACAAATGCGCATTCATATGTTTTAGATGTCTATAGAAATATTTATGTAATCCTTTCAAGAAAAAAACAATAAATGTCCAAAACTTAACTACAATAGTTAATTCTAAACCTACTGATAAGGTGTTCTTACAAAAAAGCTCTATCTTATTGTTTTAAGATAAAACTATTGCACTTTATTCATAAGAGTTTTATAAATCTTACTTAAAATGACTAAAATTTTCTCAAAAACAAATGTGCTGTCGAAATTTAATATATGGCTGTTAGCTACGAATCAAAATAAATATGTTCTAAAGGGCATCATGAACTAATTCTCTTTTTTAAAATTATAAATAATATACACTTTATCGAGTTCTTTACTTTTATTATAATAATCAGCTTTATTTTTTATGATTTATTCCTCTTCATCATCTGCTTTAAAGCTACTCAAAGGATTATCATTAGAAAAATTCATATTGTAAAATTAATTATAACTTTTATTGATTTATAATAATAAAATTGAAATTTTTAGTCATTTCTTAACAATATGTGTTTTATCTAAGTACCTAATTTTTTAAAAGAAGGATACACTTTAGTTCAATCTGAGCTTGTTGATTTACATTTAAATTACTTTTCAAATTTAATTCTAATTTTTAAGAGTTGAAATGTTTGCATATATATAAATTTAGTATAAGGCTTTTAAAAGATTGGAATTTGAAAAGTAAAATATAGCTGCTCATAATTATTAATTTTCCTTATTAAATAAACTTAGTTATGTTCTAGTTCTGATTAAGGTAATGATCATCATGATAAATAATAATTAATTCAAATTCAGAAGATTATTCAAATTTTTAATGTGTATTTTGAAATATTTCCAGAAACTGTTTCAAAGGAGTTGATTTCAGGTGATAAGTTCAATTTTAAGGATAATTATTTTGGATTCTTACCTATATACTAAATTTAATATTTTATTTTAATTTCATAAAAATTGGCAGCAGAAACAAAAATTTAGTTGGATTCATTAACAAAATAAAAAGGCATTACATTTAAATTAATTTCAAGAAGAGTTCATAAAGTAAATTCAGCAAAGGAGGTAGTTTAAATGAACCCCAAAACCTCTCCATAATTCAAAGCCTGCTCTAAAGTTGGTTTAATATAGAATCTTCAAATCCTATAGAGTAATAATAATTTTTTTAAGGGCATTATAAAATAAATGAGGATCATATCAAACATACTTTATATTGATTAGGAATATTGGTATTGAGATGCGCTAGTAAAATCATATTTCCCATATGCCTTACAGTTGTCAGAATCGCAATCTATCATAAAACATGATTTATACAATAAAGATCAATACTTAACTGATAATCATTTAATGGTCTGATTTAACTACATTCATATCTGTTCATAATAAGGATATTTGCAAAATTAGCATTGAGATGAGTTATTAATTCTTCAACAAATTATGATCTAAAGAGCCCATTTTCTATTTTACAATAACAAAAAATATGCAGAAAAAAGAATAAAACATTTAAAATTAAAATTATTGATTTATAAATATTTCGAATTTTTTGGCATAATTCAATCATACATTAGGGTATTCTTATAATCATGATACTTATTTGTATATAAATAAAAACAACCCCAATTACAAAGTCATAAATATTAGATTTATGAAACTAAAATTTAATTTTAAGATTTACTTCCTCCTCAATCAAGAATATAAACATTCCATAAATACTAACTAAAAATGCGCATAGCAGAATCCATAAAATATTTTTTTTAAAAGTAATTGAAAATAATAAACATATAAGCAATTAAGAAATAAATACACATAATTAGGTAACTAATTATCATTTTACATATACTTTTCCAGTTCATTTCTTAATAAGAAATGTAACAATATAAGTTTAACGAACCAAATGCAGTTAATGCTTAAAAGTAGTAATAATAATTAATTCTTTAATTTTCAAAAATACTTTTGCAAATAGCTTTTTTTCCTGAAATACTAAGGATCTCATTTATTATTATTAATTAAATCTCATAGGACAGTTTTATTTAAGATCTCTGCCATGAGATAGGTATATATTATCATCTGGAGCGATCAATTTAAATCAACACATATGATTAGTTTTTAGATCTCTAGTTGATTTAATTAATCAACTAAGGTTCACAATTATTAAAATTAATTAAATATATAATTTATTATTTTAATATTTTAAAAAATTTCTGAAGAATTCCTATTCTTGCTATAAGATTTTTCAAAGCATTTTCATTCAGATATAAGGATTGTTTCCATAGAGTTAACACTGTTAAAATTGTAAAAAATAAGATATTTATTATTTAAAATTTTTAAAAATTTCTGATGTAGATTTTTCAACCTTATCAAACAAATTAATTCTTTTCTTTTGGAATATATTTTTAGTAATAATCGCTATTATATATAAATATGGACATATAAATTTTGTGACAGCTTCTATAAATAATCATAATATTCTAATTTCGAATGTTAATTTCCTCCATAATAATGGCTCTTCTGGTGTGCTTTATTTTTATAAAACATTTCTATATAAATATATATTAGTGTAAAATATTTAAAAATATAGCGAGTTATTAAGGTAGAGGATTACATTTGAATCTAAATAAGAGAAATTTTTTGATTAAAGAAAATCCATTATAATAAATAATTTTGATTAAGAAATCCAAAAAACAAAAAAATCAAATCAAAAAAAAAATTTATGTTTTATTATCTTCATAGCCCACGCCTGTATCGAAACCAGCAAAATTAGTAATAGTCACTAACCATAGTATTTACATAGTAGAGTAATTTGGAAATAGAGATCAAACCAAGCCTTTGCTTGGCCTCACCACATTTCACCACATTACTGACACCAGGTATCAGCAGCCTTAGCTGACAAAACTCATATATAAAAAATAGATTTAATTATATTTCAAATTGTATAATCTTATTAACTTTAATATGAAATCATTAATAGTTATTCTTCATGTTGCTCATATTCAAAGTAAAAAATAATGGATTATTCAAAATCTTTGTCTATCTTCTGTATTTCTATTTCAATTTTTGTAATAAATTGTAGCATATCATGATTAATTCTAAAATTAGGCCGCTTGACAGTATTATTGCTTGAATCCATCCTAATATAATTTTTTTCTCTTCATTAAAAAATCCATTAAACTCATCAATATATAAGAATGAAGTAAGGATAAAAGTAAATACTGATATCTCAACTACCATCTAAACAATATAATTTTTCTTATTAAAAACCCGACGATAAAAAAATATGAATCTAATCTAAAGAATGCTTGTCAAAAAGAGCAATCCTAGTTAAAGTATTTGGGAATTTTATACATAAATCAAGAAAAATAAAAAGAAAAATTACCTACCAAAACTTAGAATTTGAAACCTTTAGTAGTTGTTCGCCTTTTATAATTTTTATTTTCCTTTGAAATAATCCAGTAAAATTGAAAAATCAATGAAAAGTAAAATACTTGCAATTATAATTTAAGCAATATCAATATAATCTTAAATCTAACTGCTTCTTGTATACAATAAAGTTTTAAATATCATATCCCAGCCATTTAGGAGTAAGGCTTTTTGTAATCCTTAAAAAGACATTAATTTTTCTAATTTGATTAAATCCATAAAAAAGTTATAAAGGGACTGACTTAACTTAAGAGTTATTTTTGGCTTTAAATATAATGATAACCTTGACATACCATAAAAGAACCTGGGACAAAATATCCAATTGTAAAGAACTTTTTTTATCTATTGTAACAACAAAATAAGGAGTAAAAATATCAACAATTAAAATATTTAGCATGAAAGATTGATTATTATACTTGAGTTTTATTTGTAAAAATTAAATTTTCCTTGGGAATATTCTTAATATGTCTAAAAATCAATAAACTACAAAAGTTGAGGAAAATAGATTAAATCCAAGAGAGGTTCAATAGTTATAAGATCATATAGAGAAAAATATATCTCTAAATTTTCTGGATATTACAGATTTATGTATTTTAAATATTGCTGGAATTAAAGGATTGCCAAAATTTCGACAAATAAATCCCCATTTCCTTATAGTAGATTCACAACTACAATTCCAGCCAAAAGATAAATTAAATTTTAATTAAGACTTTTTAAATTATAAGAATAATCCTCCTGCGTTTCGTCGATAAATGTTGGATATTTTAATGTTATCGATTTTTCAACTTCTTTCAAAACAGCATTATATTAATTAGTAATTATCTAATTTACTTAAATTTTCAAGATTGGTCTAAAGTCAAGCAACTAGTAAACTTCAATTTATACAATAAATTCTCCAAAACTTACCTCAGATCCAATGTCTTAAATAATATATAAGGTGCTATTCCAGTTCTTCTTGTCTATATTTGATAATTCAAAATTTATAGTTTCTGATAAGGGTTAAAAAGTATCTATTTTTACTTTTTAATCAAACATTATGCTTATATACTATTTATTGTTAGTCATATTAAGATAATTAATAACTAAGTTGGGGGTCTTGACAAATGTGCATTAGCTTTAAGAATCTTTTATAATTGTAATGCATATCCAATTTTATTCAATTAAACAATCCTTACATCCATCCATTGCATAATAATTACCGTCATCACATTCCTCATTTTCCTAAAGAAATCCATCTCCACAATTTAATTATTATTTGCATTAGTTAGAAATTAATAATTAGTATTAATAATTACACTCTAAACAAGTACCTTGAAAGCATTCGTAACAATTTTTTGGACAAGAATACGAACAATCAAAACAGCCATCATAAGGTTTCAAATTACCATCATCACAATCCTCTTCTTTTGTGACAATTTAATCACCACATACAGAGAGACAACTATTCTTAACAAACTCATATCCATCTTCGCATTTTAAAATGCATTATCCTCTATCACATATTTTGCAATCTTCACTGCATTAAAACTAACATTAAAAACAACCATCATATGGTTGTTAATTACCATCATCACAGTCTTCATATTATTCAAGTATGAATTTATCTCCACAATAAGGTAAACATATGTTGTCTATCATAAAAAATCCTACTTCGCACTCTAAACAAATTGAAAATTTGTTAGTTTTACAATGTTCAATTGATATAAATCTGCAATCTTGACAACCATCCCATACCTCATTAACTGTCAATTCACATTATTCAGCTGAATAAGGGATTAAATTACCATCTCCACATAAAGGATCACAATTAAAATTTCCATTAATAACAAATCCCTCTTCACATTATTAACAGATTCCAAATTAACAAATTAAACAAAAGTTTATGCAAGCGTATTTGCATAAATAGCAAGAATCATACGATATTCGATCACCATCATCACATTCCTCATAGCCTTGAGTGATTCCATCACCACAAATTGGATGACAATTTTCTAGAAATTTATTTTAAACCCAACCTTTTTAGCACAATAGGCATTTATCATCAATATACTATAAACAACCTTCATTTAAATTGTTAGTCCTCATTTCTAGCTAACTTTAAATTCCATCTTAATATTGTTAACAAATTCCAAATTAGCAAATTTAACAAAATTCTTTGCATGAATATTTACATTAGTAACAAGAATCACTAAATATTTTATTGCTGTCATCACATTCTTCTTAACCTTTAATTATTCCATCACCACAAAATGGATGACAATTTTCTAGAAATTCATCCAATTCCCAACCTTCTTAACATATTATGCATTTATCGCCAATCTACTCTAAACAACCTTCATTAAAATTGTTAATCCTAATTTCTGGCTCAGTGTAAAATACTTCAAAATCTCTTATTTCACTATCAGATGAAGTTGGTTGGGTTTTAATATTTAATTATAAAAAAAGATCAATATGATTATTTATAAATATTTCTACTTATTAATTAATTGAACTTATTGTTTTTTTACCGCATTAATAGTCTACTATTAGATTAAAAGAAGATGCTTTAAAAAACCTTATTAGTACATCTTAATGAGGAGGTAATTGAGTAGAGTATCTTATTTCCATAAATTTCAAAAAATTGCAGTTTCCACATAAGAAGTAAGTTTAATAATTATATTATGAAACAAAAGTCCACCCATCAGAATTTGTGATCAATTTCTAATCAAATGAATATTAGTGCAGCTTCCAAGATAAACTAAACTTTTGATAATTCTCTATGCATCCAGCACATTCATATTAACATTTAGAGATACTTAATTGAAATTGATATAATCCTCCTTCATTGAATGACATATAAATCCAAAGAGCTCTTCTGTTATGTTTTTAAGTTAGTGAAATTACACGTAAATGTTCACCACCACAGTTATAAACTTATGTTATTGACTAATAACTCGTATATGGTCTGTTTTCCAAATAAAAATCGAAATAATTACTAAATGATACACTTTTGTAATTAAACATATAAATTACCTAAGAAATACTACATACAATTAAATGTGAGAATGAGGTTCTAGATCTAAAAATATTCTGCTAATTTAATAATAAGAATAAGAAGGTGCTCCAAAATAATAGGCTAAACCACAAGTATAAAAATTGATATTACTATTTGAAGTGGACCATCCTAAAAATAAAAATCACTTATAGAAAATTACCAGTTCTTATCTAAGATTTTGCCTCAAACTAATAAACCAAAGTTTGATGAGTTATAAAGCTGAAAAAAATGAGGAATACCATTATGAATTAATTTTTAAAATCATAGAATTCTACATAATAAAAGGAATTTAATATGCATAATATTTTTTATAGAATAAATTGGAATTTCTTTAAATTATTTATCTGAATATATTCCATATGTGAATCTTCTAAACCAAATGACAACTAAACTTTAAAGTGACGGATCAACAGAAGAAATACAAAGGTAAAGTCTAAAAAATTAGCTATCTTTTTCATATATGAATTCTTTATTAAAAAAACTATCATTTGTGGATTCTTAACCATCGATTCTAAATAATTTGAATTAATCTTTGTATTATTCTCTCTTGATATCGTATGCATTTCTATTTCAGAATAATTGCCTAGTAACCTTTTAGGTTTCTCTTTTAAAATAAACTCACTAATCTTATTTTCGAATCCAATAATGTTTGATTATTGATATCTAATTGTTCATCCGCAATTACTAGACTTAAATTTTTAATAATTCGATTTTATTATCCTAACTATTGTATCCTATTAAGCATTTTAGAAAATCAAACTACTATTATTTAGATACATTTTATATCTTTCAAGTATCCTCATTACAATTTTTTTTACCTAGATTTGCCTCGACTCAAATTACTTATTTTGATATATAGTGTAGAGTTAGTTGATTATTGAATAAATTAAAATGATTTCAATATGTAAATAAATGTTAAACAGGTCGGAACAACTAGTATCATACCCAAATTTGATTTATCTTTATCCTTCAATTTCAAATAGAAAAAAAACTAAATGGTTTCTAATTAAATATATTTGTGATTCTAAAATGGAACCAGATCAAGTAAACTAATTGCATTTTAAAGAAATTATTAATCAGAAAAAAAGATAGTTTAATAAAACTTTTTCTGATTTTAAGATTATAAACATACAAATTGTTTTAGATTCATTATTAAATATCTTCACGACTGCATATTATAAAACCATGATATCTATCATTATATACATATCTCTATAACAATTAAGACAAAGTTTAATCTAAGTTTAGTGGAATCTAGAGATCTGAGAAGAGATTTTATTCTTATAGTAAACTGTATTAAGAATTATTGAAAAAATTCATTTATAAATCAATTATTCGAATTAAAAAAACGACAGCTTAAGGAGAAGGTAAATTCAAATTACAATTCGGATTACTCAAAAATGTAATTATGTTGTCATAGTATATCTTAGTGATTATTAACTATAGGAAGAATAAAGTGTTAAATTTGTTAATATTAAGATCATAAGCTTTTAATTATCTATATAAAGTTATATGCTAATTTTTAGCTTTTTCAGAAATTTTGAACTCCACACAAATTTTTAAATGATCTGACACACTAGTCAAACTTAACTGTTTTTAGANAAGTAAACTAATTGCATTTTAAAGAAATTATTAATCAGAAAAAAAGATAGTTTAATAAAACTTTTTCTGATTTTAAGATTATAAACATACAAATTGTTTTAGATTCATTATTAAATATCTTCACGACTGCATATTATAAAACCATGATATCTATCATTATATACATATCTCTATAACAATTAAGACAAAGTTTAATCTAAGTTTAGTGGAATCTAGAGATCTGAGAAGAGATTTTATTCTTATAGTAAACTGTATTAAGAATTATTGAAAAAATTCATTTATAAATCAATTATTCGAATTAAAAAAACGACAGCTTAAGGAGAAGGTAAATTCAAATTACAATTCGGATTACTCAAAAATGTAATTATGTTGTCATAGTATATCTTAGTGATTATTAACTATAGGAAGAATAAAGTGTTAAATTTGTTAATATTATTGAAACTTAGATTATTATTGATAAATTTATCAACAGTATTATTCCCAATTACTTTATATTACCTACATAAATGAAACTGTCAACCTTTCCATATATTGCAAAACTTCAATCAGACATTGCCATCAACTTCAAGGATTCATCGTTTTATTAATTACTACATTTAGCACAAGATATATCTGATGATTATGCTATCATTTTCACTATCATAAATATATATATACATAGATTTTAAGAGCACTTACAATTAATCTTTTCAATTTTTGATTCGCTTGGGTAAAGCCGTATATATATCTTATTTATCTCTATCTATAGTGATATATATAGTTAAGTTTTCGTTGTAAATATATTAAGATCATAAGCTTTTAATTATCTATATAAAGTTATATGCTAATTTTTAGCTTTTTCAGAAATTTTGAACTCCACACAAATTTTTAAATGATCTGACACACTAGTCAAACTTAACTGTTTTTAGAATTCAGCTTTGGAAATACCAATACCTCATCCGTTTTGGGCTGTCTGTCCTTTCCCATTACCTATCTAATATAGGGAATGTCCTTACTATCTAGTACATTCTAGAAATCTTAAGCTTTAACCACTTTTTAATTAAAGTCTCCACAGACAATAACCATTTGATTATCCTTTCCATTTTCTATTAGAGTAAAAAGCATTTATTTTAATTATCTTTAGTTCTATTGATACAATTAAGTCTTTGTTAAAATATACATTTATGGTAATTATATTAATTAGTTGTGCATTTTTAATAATATAATAAACAACAGATAAAAGATATTAATAAGATTATAAAGAGAATAAACATGATAATAAATACTTTCAACATAATAGGAGTATCTGTAATCTTTTATGATTTTCTGCAATTCTAGTAAAATAATACAGATAATCTATTTTGAGAGTTTGAAGTAATGTTAGAGAATCTAAATCAGCATAATAATGAATGATACCAATATGATCCTACTCAATAATTCAAATCTGATAATTAAATCTCTCCTTTACTTCATGAACTTCTCCTTCTTCTTTTATCTAATAATGTTACTATGCATCTTCAAATAATAGAAAATAAGCTAAATCACAGTACACATGTCTTTTTGTAACTGTAATTAGTATAGAATTAACTACTCGCTTTAATTTTTTAACTACATAATTAATATTCTTTATAATTCATTTAATAAAGATAGTTCTTCTCTTAAATTATGCCTAAGATTCTATTTTAAATGGATCAGCCATAATATGAATTATATTTTTTATTTACATTAATATAATTTAATACTCAATTAAAAGGAATGAGCAATTCAAAACTCATTAAACTAAGCCTATTTAAATTTAATAATTCATTTTTACACTAAAAAAAAAGATTTGTCTAAACAAATATACCATCTTATATAATTTGATATCTTTTGAACTCCCAATTTTGATTCATGTTTTTATCTAGAGTTTCAAAATTCTAGTTTTATATATTAAATGATAATTATATTCTTCAATTATGTTTTCAGAATCAATAGATGTAGTAACAATTAGCCATCACTATATTTAAAAATCAATCGAATTTTATTTTTTTTCTTCTCCATTTCAATCACACATATTTATTCCTTTTTTAATTTATTTATTTTCAAGGAATTTAAAGCTTCTCAGTATAATTATAAATAACCATTGATTCATTTAGTTATTTGAATTACGCTTTTTAACATTATTTAGTTCTAATTCTGCCTCTAAAATTTAACCTATTCATCCTATTCTATGAGCAAGTTTTTTTGAAATAGAATATCCCTCTTGATCATTCCTCATTGTCGCCTAATTAAAACTATTATTATTATTATTAAGCTAATAATAAATTAAATAAATTTTAGCGAGAAAAATAAATAATTTTTTGTCCTTTTAAATATGCTTTGATCCAAAAATCTTATTTTTTTTCAATTTAAAATATCAAAATCTGTTTATTTTTAAATATTTTTATTAGTAAATGCTTCTAGATTAGAATTGTTGATAATAACTTAAGAATGAATTTAAAGATTAATCTTCAACTTCATTGCTATTGTTAATTTAATATTTTATACTCATATTAAAATATTAAAATCAAAATTTTAGTAATTTTAAACTAAATTTTCAATTTTGCTTTTTTTATGAGGACATTTATTAACTCTATTTACATCTTGAATTTATTCTTAGCCTTATATTATTTAATAAAGTTTTATTTATTTTGTCAAGATAGTATTTGATTGGATAGAGTTAATATTTAATATAATACAACAAATTTCTACTTTAATGAGTTGAAAATCATCCTCAAAATATATTTTTAAAATAAAATAAATCAATAATTAACATCTCATAAATTATTGATATTTAATTATTAAATATATTTTTAAAATCTCATTGTAAAATTTAAAAATAAAAACTTAGCTATTTTTGCATAGCGTTAAAATTAAATTAATAGAGTTACTTTGAAAATTAACAATATTTCATAAAACAAATAATTCTTAATCTTTAATCATTAGTTCATCATTCTTAAATATAATGCTGTTTTTTGTTGAATTAGATTGACCAATATTAAAAAATATATATTTCTTTAACTTAATGATGTGATTTCTGCATTATATTAAAATAAAAAGAAGTGAATAAAATTTTTTGGATCAATGCTCTCATATCAAAGGATATATTATTTTATTCTATTAAGTTTTGAGGTTTATATTTCTTTAAATTATTGAAATGCCATTGATAATAAGAACATCTAAATATAAAAAGCTTATTTTGTTATTGATATCTTATTCACAACATCAGCAAAGCAATTAATATTATTATGAAATTCATTAAAACTGTGATCAATTTTCTATTATTCTTTTAGACCTGCTAAATAGAGGCTAGTACAATGGTTTGTTCTTGTTCCTAATTAAAATCATAAGGAGATTGTGTTTTAAATAAAGATTGTTAATGGAATAAGATTAATCATTCATGCAGAGACAGAGACAGTCCTAGTGCAGAAAATTCAACTATTCCTGCAATAAAATATCCAACATATTGCGATTAATTCGGATAAAACGATTGCTCACAATTGAGAACATATGATAACTTTGATAATTATGCTGCTTGTGCTTGGGAAAATGATAAATGTGTGTTTTTTACAGATTGTACAGTATATGATAGTAAAACTGAGCAGGATTGTTAATTGATAAATCATAGTTGTATCACTGACGGAAATCATTGTGTTTAAATAAGTGCTTGTGATTAATATAAAAAATAACGTTCCTGTTAAAAAAATGATTTAGGATAATATTGTTTTTGGAATAATATTAATAATGAATGTGAAATAGCTGATACATGTTATAAATTACCTACTTTATTAAAGAATGATAAAGAATGTAGAGATAATATTAAAACATGTACATCACAGATGTCTGGAGGATGTATAGAAAGTGGACTTAATTGCATTGATTAAAAATAAGAAAATTAATGTGTATGGAATTAAAATCAAACAATGGCTTGTTTTTGGGATGGATCTTTATGTAAAGATAGGATTTGTAGTAATGCACCTATTTAAATTACAAGTGATGATGGTTGTATGTAATTTAGAAAAGATGGAACTTGTACAACAAAAGAGAACGGTGGTTGTGTAACTAGAACTAGTTGCTAAGCAGCAAAAATAAGAGAAGCTTGTATTAAAAATGCTGAAGGATTTTCATGTTTTTGGGATGGATAAAATTGTTTAGACAAAATATGTTAGAATGCACCAAAAACATTGATAACAAATTCTGAATGTGAAGAATTTTAAGCAGGATGCATAACAACTTTATAAGGAGGATGTGTATAAAATAGATCTTGTTCAGCAGCAAATACATTAATAGCTTGTTATAAAAATTTAAATGGATATCCATGTATTTGGTATACATTTAAAGGATATGAAGGTTGTTATGAAAAAACATGTGAAAATGCCCCAACATCATTATTAACTAATGAGGAATGTGAAGCTTATTTACAAGGTCATAATTGTATAACATAAACAGGAGGTGGATGTACTACTTAAACTATTTGCGAGGCAATTAAGGTAGAAGCTGCATGTATTTAAGATATTTATGGAATATAATGTAATTGGGATAAAATTAATTTAAATTGTAAAAGAAAATCATGTTGGTATCCGAAATAAAATGATTCAGGTAGTAGTTCATTAAATAGATTACTTTCTGCAAGCCATACAATAACTTAGAATTATTGTTAATCATTTTCAGATACTTGTATTGCAAATTCAACAAATACAGAATGTATAGAGAAAAGATGTGAAGATTCTCTTCTTTAAACAGATTGTTTTATGGATGTCTTAAGTAATAAAGCATGTGTATGGATTGATAAATGTTATTAAAAGTAATGTGTCTTTGCTTCAAAGGCAACTACTCATCAAGAATGTTAAGCATATCTAGTAAGTTGTACTTTAAGTAACTCTGGCCTTGGATGTGTACCTTTACCTATTATTTGTTAATCAATAACAAATGCAAATTCATGTGTAAAAAAAGCAAATGGATAACTTTGTGGATGGGATGGTTTTTAATGTATAAATAAGAGTTGTTCAACTGCCTCTAATTCAATAAAAACAACATAAGAATGTTAATAATATTTACCATAATGTGTTGCAAATAATCCAATAAAAATGAATGGAATTTCAGTAATTATGGGATGTCAAGATTTATTTAGAAATTGTAGATAAAGAATGTCTATAGAAAACTGTGAAATTTAAAGAAATGGTTATCCAATATGTCTATGGAATGCTACATAGAATTAATGTATTGAAAAATCTTGTTAAACTGCATCTATATAAGGAACAAGTAATTCAGTAACATAATTTACATTTTAAAATTGTTTAAATTATCTTTCTGATAATTCTTGTATTTCAAATAATAATTCTGATGGATGTATATAAAAATAATAGAGTTGTAGAAACTTAGTTTATTAAAATTGTTAATTAGGATCAAAAATAATTGGAGATTGTTATTGGAATGGTTTAGAATGTGTTGATAGAATATGTGAAAATCTTAGATTAACAACCCATAATGATTGTAATGGTTAATAAATAGAATGTACTGTAAACAATTAAAAAACTGGATGTTAGAGATTAGCATTTCAATGTTCAGATTATAGTGACTATGAAAATTGTAAATTAACATCAGAAAGGAAATATTGTATATGGACTGGTTCAGTTTGTAGAAGTGCAACTTGTTTTGATGCTCCTGATAGTTTATTGTTTGATACAGATGAAGAATGTTCAAATTATTAGAGTAATGAAAAATGTACAGTTATTAATAAAGTTGGTGGTTAAGGTTGCATAAAAAAATAAATAAATTGTTCAGATTATAAGATATCAGGATAATGTCATAAAACCGTATAAAATTAAACAACAAAAGATGATTGTAAATGGATTATAGATAAATGTTATTCAATATAATAATTAATATCATAACCTTGTTCAATGTTAAAAGGATCTAAATAAATGTGTTAAAAGTTTAATGATGGTTGTACAAATACAGATTAAGCTAATTCTTTAACTCCTTGTTTTGTAGATTGTTAATTAAAAATAGGGTCCAAATTAATTTTTGAAGATTGTTAAAAATTAGATGTATCATGTTCTGTGAAAATAGATGGAACTGGATGTATTAATATATAACCAACTTGTTAAGCATATGGGTCATAATCAATAGGTTGTGTTAGATCAAGCGCAATAAGTACTTAAAGTTATTGTGTAATGAATACTGCTACTCCACCATATTGTTAAACTATAACATAGGCGTCTGAATGTACTTTTGTAAGTTCATAACCTAGTTTAGATCATGAAAAATGTTAAGCTTATAGTTCTTTTTGTACTTATTTAAGTAATGGTTCTGGATGTTAAGAATATAAAAATACTTGTAATCTATATTCAAGTGATTTATAACATTGTACAATTTCAAAATAAGGTAAATGTTACTTTGATGGTACTGAATGTGTTCGTTTTTTGATGTGTTCTTCAATAATTGGAACTGGACTTACAAATGAATAATGTTTATCTTATAATTAAGGATGTACATCAAATGCTAATGGAACTGCTTGTTAATTAAAATAAGCCAGGTGTGATCTTTATTTATCTTAAAATTCATGTACTTTGTCTTCGGCTTCAACAAATAAATGTGTTTGGACTGGAGATGTTTGTATATCAATAGTAACTTCATTAGTTTCAACTCATTGTCTATATGTAATTGGAACATAATTAACAGATACATTATGTAGTACTTATAATATAGATTGTACAATTACTGCAGATGGGACAGCTTGTTAAAGAAAATAAGCAACATGTGATCTCTATTTTACAAAAAACTCTTGTACTTTTTCTAAAGCAACAGGAAGTGCAAGTAAATGTGTTTGGAATGCAAAAGCATGTCTTGCTATTACTAGTACAAATGTTGAAACACATTGTGCTTATATAATAGGAAATAATCTAACTGATGCTATATGTTCTTCATATTATTCAGGATGTACAGTAAATCGTTCAGGATTAGCTTGTTAATATATGCTTAGTGCTTGTAATAAATACACTAATATAACAGCATGTTCTAAATCATCAGCATAAAAATGTGTATGGAATCCTGATGCATCTCCTGCATAATGTATTGGAGTTACAGCTGCTACATAATGTATTCTAATTACTAGTACAATTTTTAATGATACTGAATGTTCATCATATAATGCATTATGTGTTGCAAATTCTACAGCTAAAGCTTGTTAAGAAAAAAAAGCAACTTGCAATATTTATACAACATCTGAAAGTTGTTCTACATCCACAGCCGGTAAATGTTATTGGAATAGTGTAGCTATGCCATAAGTTTGTATTTAAATATCAAATGCTTCTGCTTTGTGTATTTAAGTTATATAACCATTTCCTTTATCAAAAGAAATATGCGCAACTTTTAATGTAGGCTGTACAGTCAATTCTTTAAAAACTGGTTGTTAAGAGTTAGAAAATACATGTGATCTATATTTAACTTAAACTACATGCTCTTTTTCTAAAGCTAAATCTCCTGCTGATAGATGTGTATGGAATACTGAAGTATCTCCTGCTGTTTGTATTACTATTACTAATGCAACTTAATGTACATTAATATTAGGTTCTGGTTTTGATAATACTTAATGTTCAGCATATTTTGCTAGTTGCACAAATCTTAAAGATGGTACTGGATGCTAAGAAAAAAAAGCTTATTGTAAAAATTATTCTACATAAAATACTTGTGTTATGCAAAATGATGGTTTATCTTGTCTTTGGTTTGAAAAAGCTTGCTATTAAATAAGAACTTTAGCATGTACTTCAATTACTGGACTTGGTCTTGATCATTCTACTTGTTAATCATTTAACATATCTTGTACATCTATGGCTGATGGAACTTCTTGTTAAGAATTTAAGTCTACCTGTGAGTAATATCTAGGAGCTAATTCTTGTACAAAAACTGCTAACTCTAAATGTTACTAAGATAAATAAAAATGCATCACTATTTCTAATACTGCTACTGATTGTTCTAAAATAACAGGAACACAAGGTACTTTAACTTATTAATTTTGCTAATCATATAATATTGGATGTAGTGTAAATCGATTAAAAAGTGGTTGTATCTAATAATAATAATAATGTTCAGATTATGGTAATAATATATAAAATTGTTATTAATCGAAAGCAGGGTTATGTACATCAAATTCAACTGCAGATAATAATTGTATAGCTGTTTCATAGATAACAAATTGTGAAAATTTATATTTAGGTGATGGAAATTACAATCATTCTAATTGTAATGAAATGAAAAATGGATGTACAGTAAATGGAATAATAGGATGTACATAAAAAACATGTGGAAATGCAATAGGTCCATTTAATCATGAGAATTGTAATAATTGGTTGAATTCTTGTACAGTTTATATTGGAAAGAGTGGATGTATAACAATGAAATAGAAATGTATGGATTAATAAGCTAGTTAATGTTTAAATTCTTTTGAAGGAGAATGTATTGTTATAGGATAATAATGTCTAAAAAAAACATGTGATACAGCACCATCAGATACAACAAATGATGATGATAGTGAATGTTCAGGATATTTATAATCCTGTACTGTAGCTAGATTAGGAGGATGTTAACCTAGAGACGATTGTTCTTCATATATTTCTTAAAATTAATGTAAATTAAATAGTTCTAATGAGAAATGCTTTTGGAATAAAATAATTCAAAATTGTGTTGATTTGAAATGTGAAAATATTGAAGCAACAATCTCTTATGATTCTCATGGAGAATGTTATGCTGTAGATTAATAATTAGCATGTACAGTAAAAGCATCTGAAGGTATAGCTATTGCTGGTTGTATGTCTAGAGTATCATGTGATTCTTATACAATAGAAGAATAATGTGTTACAAATTAAAATGGAGATGTTTGTGTTTGGAATACTAATTAATCTTTAGAAAAACCATAATGTTAAGATAAATCATGTACAACAGCACCATTTTCTATATCAACTCATTATGATTGTTATTCATATTATAATACACCAACGATTTAATGTACAGTAGCATTAAACTTTGATAAAGATGGTATATTAAAATTATCTGGTTGTTAAACAATAACATCATGTTAATCATATTAAAATATTGAATAATGCAAAATCAATGATAAAGGTAAACCATGTGAATGGTAATAATCTTAATGTTTAGAAAAATCATGTGAAACAGCACCATAAACAATTGATTATGATAGTGATACTAAATGTAAAAATTATTTTGGAGATAAATGTACAGTTGCTAGTACTGGATTTGGATGCACAACAATTCCTTTGAATTGCGAAGAAATGACAAAAGAATAATGTTTTTATAATATTTAAGGTAATCCTTGTTTTTGGACAGGAGATACATGTATTACAAGAACATGTGATAATGCACCAGAATCTATGTTAACTCCTGAAAAATGTGAATCTTATTTATCAGGATGTACTATAGATAATATTAAATGTAAAATTAAAATATGTGAACATTATCATTTAACAACAGATAATGAATGTACTTAAGTAATGTCTACTTGTACAACTAATGGAAAGTTTTGTGTTTAAAGAGGAACTTGTTTAGAAAGTTAAAGTGAAGCAGGATGTATTATATCATCAAAAGGTGAATAATGTTAATGGATAAATGCAGAAGAAAATCGTTAAGGATATTGTACTATTAAATCATGTTTAACAGCACCTAATAATTTAAAAACTGAAGAATAATGTTCTAATTATTTTAATAATTGTACTACTAAATATGGTGGAGGATGTATTACAAAATCTACATGTTTAGCTGCTTTAATTGATTCAGCTTGCAAAAGAGATATAAATAATAAAATATGTGTTTGGGATTCAACTGAAAATAGATGTAGATATTAAGAATGTATTGATATTAATGGAACAAGTCATATATAATGTAAAATTGAAAAGTCTGGATGTACTGTTGGATTAAATGGTAAATGTGCAAAAATTTAAACATGTGAATTAACAACTATAAGAGATGCTTGTATTGAAGGAATCAATGGACCATGTTTATGGATTGAAGATAAAAATAATTAAGCTAAAGGAACTTGTATAAAATATACATCTTGTAAAAGTGTAACTTGGAATACTGATAAATAATGTAAATTGATTAGTAATAAATGTACTACAAATGGATTAAATTGTATAGGAATTACTTTATGTTCAGAAACTAATACAAATGGAGGATGTGTTACAGGTTATGATGGGGTTTGTGCATAATCAACATTAAATTAAAATAATGTATACTCTAAAATTTGTAGTCTAGAATCTTCATTCTCTTGTTAAACTGTATCTTATATTACTCATATAGAATGTTAAAATTATAGTATCAAATGTACAACAAACGGAACTGAATGTATATCTTTAATGTCTTGTGCATAATATAATAATTAATCTGGATGTTATTTAAATAAAGCTGGTTAAATTTTAGATAATTCTAATAATATTATATCTACTGGTATTTGTACTTGGGAATCTTCAATCTCAGCATGCAGAGATCAAAATTGTTTTGATTTGATTGGAAATAATCATTAAAGTTGTTATGATTAATTATTTAATTGTACATCAAATGGATCTACTTGTATAACTATTTAAAAATGTGCTTATCATTAAACTTAAACTGCTTGTATAGTTGCTAAAAGTTTAGATGGTCCATGTTTCTGGGAATAAGATTCAAATTTATGTAGACCACTTATTTGCTCAGATATTAAAAATGTATCTATAACTACTAATTGTTAACTTATCTTACCATCTTGTGTTTCTGATGGAACTAATTGTGTTCCTAAATCTAATTGTTCTCTATACAAAACTAAAACATCTTGTTATTCTTATGGATTAGATGGTCCCTGTTTATTTTATAATAATTAATATTGTAAATTAATAACTGATTGCGCTGTTGCTTAATATTAATAAGCTTGTGAATAAGTCTAAAAATAATGTTATTGGGTGCCTAAATCTGATAATATATATTAATCAAATGTTTGTTAAGCACATACTTGTGCAACTTATTATACTACATTTAGAGTCTGTAATTTTTTCTTAAGATTTAATTAATAAACTAAAGTAATATGTTAACTCAAAAATAATTCATGTATTGAAGCAGATCAATACACATTTATACAAACAGATTGCTATGTAGCAACAGGCTACAGTTTTACTTGGAATTCTATGACTAGTAAATGTGAATCTTGTTTTTTTTATCCAAACAATTAAAGTAACTCTAATTTAAATAATGTTGTGAATTATTAAAATACCAAAGCCTACCTTTTGGTTATGATGCTTGCATTTTAAAATCTATTATTTGCATGAAATATTAATAATATATATAATTAAGCTTTAATCATAAATATTTTATTTATATAATAATGGTAAATTAATGTAATATAGCTTAATAAACTTTAAATATTCCCTAAAGAAAAATAGTCAATTGTTGAATATAAGCATAATTTTTAAAACTTTTAACTAAAATATATGAAAAAGTTTTAGTATTTTAAGTTATTAAAGAGTTTAAAAACAAATCTAAATATACTTGAACTCATTAATAAACAATAAAGTGCATTAGTTAATATCGATGCAAAGACAGAAAAATACCAACTTTTTACATTGAATAAATAAAGTTACTTTAAAATAATTTTTGGGTCTTGCTGTGATTAATTACCAGTTTGATTTAATTATTTTCTTCCATTTAATTTTTCTAATAAATAATCTACCTTAAATTAATTTAAAAGTTGTTTGTAATGAGACCCTAGTATATATATTTAAGAAATCTATTAAATAAGGTGGAATTATTATTATATAAACCTTATACAGCATAAGTATTTAGGAATGTTAAGTGCATTAGTTAGATTAGATAGACAATTAATGGTTAATTTATACTTAGTTTCAAGAGTAAAAGTAAATATTGCAATTTATTATAAATTTATTTCTTGTTATAATTAAACTTATTAATTGAAAGTTAACTCGATCACTTAGATTGACTAAGTTTTATCAATTTCCACATTAATTAACACAAACATTATCGATTATTAGTTAATTATTTCCACATCTTAAGTTTGTTTAATATAATATTAATTAATTAGATGAATCATTATTACTATCTTTATAATATCTACAAATCTTATTATGCAAAAGATATTAATTAGTATTACATTATTTACATTAATCTTTTGACAATCAATGCAACCTTCTGAACATTTGAAATAACATTAATAACAATCATCAGTAGGGGTATATTATTAACACCAGCACATTATTCTTATGAATCAACAACAATTCCATCTCCATGAAATATAGTACAAATTTTCTATTGAGCAAGTATCCATCCTGATTTACAAGGATTAAATACACCTTTTTAACAGTCATACATTAATTTTTAACATTAGGATTTTCTTTGATTACCATCATAACATTCTTCAATATCTAAAAATAATTAGTCTCTACGTACAGTAATAAATTTATTTTCCTAATCACCAAACTTCAGTACTATTTTCTGAACAATTTCCTTAAGACATAAAGTACATTAATCTTAACATTAAAGATAACAATCCATACACCCATCATCATTCTTATTATTTCCATCATCAAATGATTCCTTCCCTAAAATAAATTGATCTCCGCCTATTGTTTAAAATTCATATTAATTAAATTTAGTTCCAATTCTGGTGAAATACATAAAAAACATTATCCATCTATTCATGAAGTAATAAATTATTCTTAACATTAAAATTTACAATTTTATACTAACGGTTAACTTCCATCATCACATTATTCATCTTATGTAATAATCGAATCTCCACAAATACTAAAACAAATATTTTTATTTTATCTAAATAATAACCAAATTAACTCTATTTCATTTATCACAAAATTAATGAAATCAAAATTAAAATAAATAACAACCATCATATTGAATATTATTAGCATCATTACATTATTCATATTATGATAAGTAACACAGTTTCGAAATTATTATATTCATTATTTAATTTGCATCCTATTAAATTACAATCAAGGCACCTTTTAAAACTACATTAAGTACAATAAGATTAACAATTTAATTGACATTTATAGTATCCATCATTTAATAAATTATTTCCATTTTCACAAATTAAATCTTTTTTATTTCATTTTCACAAAATTGAATATATTTTTAAGTTGATTATTCATATCTATACCCTTTAAAATATTTTACACAAATTCCTCCGTCACAATATAAACAATTCTTATCACAAGTAGTTTAACATTAATTACAATTATGATAAAGATTATTATTATCACATTCTTCTATTTTTAAAATAAAATACTATCTCCACATATATTTTTAAGTGATCCACCATTATTATAAAAATAATATAATCATAAAATATTCTCATTTATACCAACCCTATTCATTACATTTTTAACATATATATATATACATAATTCTTAACATTTAAATTTACAATTTTAACATCTGTCAAATGATGATTCTATTTTATATTCACATTATTTAGGATAAACTAAAATTTCATCATTACAAATGGTTAATAATAATTATTTTGATTATAATTAAATATTTATATATATTAATCCTACTAAATAGAATTTTTCATTTATACAAATATCATATGTAAATTACAAGCAAATTTACAATTATGACATCCATAATATTTTTGGACAAAAGTAAGACAATCAAATTAAGAACAACCATAGCAAGTTTCACAATATTTATTAGACTATACAAAAATGTATCCTTATAAAAATGAAACATATTCATATTCCATTAGCCAAATAATATTGATTACTTAGACATTTTCTATTAAATATATTAGTCAAAAATTTATCATTACTATTATCCTTAAAATCTACACATTAGATTTATTTGCATGTACCTGATATTTGTCTAGCTGGGACACCATAAAAGAATTGAATTCCCTGAGTACCATAAGTACAAGAATTTTTAGTATTATATGATGTACAGATTCCTCTTAAAAGATAATTTATTCCTATATAAATTAGAATTTTTATTTAATTCATTTAAAATGAAAATGAATCAAAAAAAGAAAATAATAATAATTTAAATAAAGAAAATTTAATTAATTAAAAAAACAAAATATTATTTAATGAAAAAACCAAACAAAAAGACATTTTGATTAATGCAAATTAAAATAAAATTTCATTTATAAAATTATTTAAAATAAAAAAAACATTTAAATATGATAAACATTAATCTTAGACATTCTTAACAAAGTAAATAAACAAATTTATAAGTTATTTTACTAAATAAAATTAATTAAATTTGATTGAAGCAAATATGTAAATAAAATAATCGAAATATTTGGATATATTATAATATAACACATTTTTAAATGTGTAAAAATAAAAAATATAAAATATATGATTTTTAACAATATTAATTTAAATATTTAAACAAAAAAACTATTTGAATTAAAAATAATTAAAGAAAATATATGTTTGATCTTAATTTAATAAAAATAACTTCTTTACCAAAAATAATTCAAAAATTACTCATAATACCTTACTATTATTATGAATCATCAATAATCTAGTAATTAATTAATTCAAATATAATAATGAAAGTTGCTTTAAATGAAAATCTATAAATTGTAAATTCACTATTCCTCTTCTAACCATTTTGTTCTGATACCTTCACACCAAACTCCTTTTTTTCTCTATCCATTTTCTGTTATAAAGACTCCTTCTCCATGTTATTTACCATTCTCCCATAAACCTTCAAATGATCTTCCATCTGGCCATACAAATTTACCATATCCTTATTTCTTATCCTCTTTGTACTAAATTTAATTCTATTATAATACATTTCCTATATATTTTCTCCCATCAGTCCAAATATATGTTCCATATCCATCCATTTTATTATATTTCCATTAACCCTCGTATATTCTTCCATCTGACCATTTATAAATCCCTTAACCTTAAATATCATTCTGACAGAAATCTCCATTATATCTAATTATAATTATTTATTTTACTCAGAACCATCACTCCAAATATACCTTCCCTTCCCCTCTTTTTATCCTTATTTATAGAATCCTATGTATTAATTTCCATTTGGCCATTTTTCCATTCCCTTTCCATCCTATTTATCCTCGCTCCATTCTCCTTTATAAACTGCTCCATTTTAATGATAATACTCTCCATATCCACTTGATTTATTTTCATTCCAATTTCCTTAATACATATCACCATCTGAATGAATCTATCTCCCAAAACCAAATGCTTAACCATCTAACCAAGTTCTAAATATAACTTTAGATAAAAACCCTTCATAAATAGATCCATCTTTCCAAATTTGTGTTCCTCTTCCACACCTTTGATTATTTCTCATCTCTCCACTGTAAATTGCTCCATTATCCATTATTACATCACTCTTATAACTTAATTCATAAGAGTCAATTATTTATTAAATAACTTAAGTATTCTTATATACTACCATCATTTATCTTATGCTCAAACTATCCAAATCTTCTCTGTGTTTTTAACACTAATTCATTTGTAATCTTTTGTTCCATCTCGGTCCAATAAGAACTTTTTGCTAATTCAGTCATTTTATCAATTTTTTTTTTTTAATGTTTAATTTATATTATACTTCATTTTTATAATACTGCTGATATTCTAAATTGGATATATCTAATAAATACTTCAGAAAGTAAATTTAAAATATATTTAAAATATAAAATTGTTCAAATTGTTATAATTTCTTCTCTAAATATTTTGAAATAAAAATTTTGATAAAACTGTTTTTGATATCATTTAATATTCTAATAATTAAATTTAATTTATACTTGTTTATTTTCTTGTTAACACTCTCTTCTCTAGTAGGTTGCGAAGTTCGAATATCATATGAAATACAACCAAAGACTTAATTAAGAATTATTCAAGATAAAAATAATTGTCTATGTAAAACAATTCAACCTTATTATTTAAAATATTTAGAAGAAGAAAAATTATTTCTAAAAAGTTCATCAAATATAAATCATTAGTTAATAATCTTTTTTTTAAGTTGAAGATGCTAGATTTTAAATTGAGATCAACAGATAAAAGTATCTATTTTATAGATTGAATTACTATTTAAGCTATTGATATCTTTGTAAAACTTGTATTAAATTTTTTAATTTGATTGCTATTGTTTTGTTTATGCTCCGTTATATAAGTAAATTGCTCATATAAACGGTATTTTTAAAATTAGATTTTATAGATTTTTAAGAATATTAGAAGGATATGAAAAATAACCTTATTTTTATCACATGCTTTAAAGATATCTAAAATAAATTGAGAATTCTTATGCTTTCTTAAATTGCTGTTCTACAAATAAGTAAATTTACACTGCTAAAAGATCCAAATTATCTAATTTTTATAGATTATAAAGTCTTACATTCCTTTATATAAAAGAATTTTAGTATCGATATTAATTATATTTCATGCAAATTGAATAAGATAAATAAAAAAGAAATTTTCCCAGTTAAATTATCATTTTAAATACTTTAAGAAATTTGAAATGATACATTTGTGAATGAAAATTCAGAATTTTTTTCGAGGAATTAGCTTTACTTGTTTGTTAATTTCTTAGAGATTGAGTTGATATTTTATATGAACCTACTAAATTATTTCTGCCTTATCTTTATCTGGAAATTAAAATTGGCAAAAGTATACATTCTTATCTTAATTAATATTGGTATTTTCTAGGATTAAATTTCCTTCTTTAAAATTTTAAGATTTTTTTCATGCTTCAAATTGTAAATACTTAAATAAATAACTCATTCTCTTATTAAGTATGTGGGAGAAAAATCTAAAAAAAATTAATATAAATAAACTTAAAAGGCTAATGAAACGACGATTAATTTTTAATTTTCAAGCATTTTTGTTGATTTAGAAAATTCATTTTCTTTTGAATTAGGTTATGGCGAAATGCAAAGAAAGTAATTTTTGTTGAAAAAATTTATCAAGGCCCAATGAAAAATGAAGAGATGAGCAATAATGAAAAACAAAAACTTCTATGTGTAGCATATAAAAATACAATTGAAAAATCTTTATGAATTTAATTAAGATTTACTTTATGATAATTAAATTAAAATTTAGCAAATAATAAATTGATTTTTTTCAGTGCTCTTAATGGAATAATTATAGAAAGAATAATCCATTAAAAATATTCAAAAAAAAAAATAATGGCTACTAGTGGTGACACACTTCAAAATTTCCATACTTTTTAAAATTTCATATATCTTGAAACAAATTTATCATAATAAAAAGAGTACAGCTTAGGCTCAAAAAACCTATTAATAATAAAATAGCGTATGGCTATGAATAACTTCATAAGTTCTATTTATTAAAATTTTTCTTATTTGATAAATTCTATTTAATTCTAAAAGATTTATTTAAGATTATACTATTCTTTTTCACTTTATCTGTAAATAAGGATTTAGTTTCTAAAGTATAATTAAAAAAGTCAATAAGATTTGTGTTAACACTTAAAATATAATTTTATTTTTATTTTAACAATACAATCCAAAATAGAATAAGTAAAAAAAAATTTTGTTATTCTCTTTTGATTTCATCTATAGAGTTAATTATAAGCAATCCTTATCATTTAAAATCTTTTTTTATCTCATGCTTTTATTTATTGTACAAATCATATTTAAAAATTATTGTCAATTATACCCCAAACTATTAAAGTATAAATATTTGAAAATTGTATAAGCTCACCTCATTAATTTTTAAAGTTATAGAAAACTAATTGATGTTTTTTCTGTCTTTAAGAGCAACAATATTAAATATTTAAGATTCATTTTTTTTTATCTAATCAACTCTTTTTATTAATTGAATATATTTTTGCTGCAATCACTTCAAAGAGCAGCAAGTTTAGATCTTTTATTAAAATAGAGACAAAATGTTAATGAGTAATATCATTCAGATTTGAAAGTATATTATAAGAGATACCTGTGAAAAATATTAACTACACAAGTTTAATTTAATTTTTGTATTAATTAGGTACTAAGATTTGATAAAATATTCAAAAGGTTTCTATAACTAAAGAATTTTTATTTTAAAGTGACTTTTTTCATTAGACTTTTTAAGGTTAATTTAATTTTCATGTTATTGTTGATATCGGGTATTATAGCCAAAATTATAGTAGCTGACTCTCTAAAATTATCCTATTTATAAACCCTCAAATATTTTCCAATTACTTAATTATATTCAAGAAATAATAATTACATTTAAGTATTCAGCTGCTTTTTTATGATGAAATTTTTTTTAATAACATCCATTGTGCTAATTTTTTAGAAAACAAATATTTATTAATATAAATAAATAAATTTATTAATTATTGTCTTTGCATAATACATATCCTTTTAATTAATCTTATTTAGAAAAGCAGATTCTACCTAATGTATCTGAAATGAAAAATGTAATTGGTTAATTAGATTTCGATCTTTTTTATGAAGTGATCGCAAATGCTTATTTAATTCAAATATAGGTATAAAAATATCCTATTTTCAAAGATGAATAATTTTGATTATTTTTTCTATATTTTTACCAATATATCTACAAAATTAAAGTAATTATAAATTTATTAATGAATTAATCAAAATAATGACAATTTTAAAATCAAAATAATTTTTACATTGTTAATAATCACTAATAAATATATGAATTAAAAAGAGGAAGAAAAAATCTTATATTTGAATATTCAGATGAGTAAAAAAACCATTCATTTCAAATTTTAACTTAAATTTTATTGTTAATATTAAACCCTTCAACTTTATAAGATAAATTGATAACATGTTTAGAGTGTTTCTAAAATATAGAAGAATGGAAAGATGAATGGTTAGAATTATATTAGCGTAGAATATTGAAAACTATTAACATTTTTCAAATATTGATATATTATTCTATCATTTCTTTTTTAAGTGATAAAAAATTAAATTTTATTTGTTATAAACAGTATATAGATTTTATGTATGTTATTTGAATGGTTGAATATAAATTGAAGATAATAATTTTAAGTACCTTAAAGGAGTTGGGCTAATTAACTAAAATAATACATAAAATTTTGTATAAATTATGCTGTAGTATAATTGAAGAATGTATTCAATAACCAACATCATTTACTAATTTAAGTGTAATATTAAAAGTAATCAATTGTGGAAAATAATTTTTTAGTAAATGGTATATGCATATGAAGCCCTGAATTAGGTGAAGTTTGTGGAAAAAGATCCCAAAGCTGAAATACCTTTTTTTTAATTAATTATTATATCTTCTATTTTTGAATTTCAAGTTTAATTGTAAGAATCGTGTATATTTAAATTATCATACTAATAAAGAGCTTAAATTAATCTTATTGTATTTAAAAAAAATGAAGACTTAAAAGTAGAGAATATCATAAAACTGCTAAACAAAATACCGAAAGAGGAATCAATTGTGTTTTTTCAAAACATTTAAAATTAATTTTATAACCATTGAAATTCTTAAAGATATGAAGCTCCTTAAGAAATTTCTAATTATATTGATTATTTAAAAGAATTTATAATGTCAATTTTTCAGATTGATTTTATTTATTTATTAGATCTTTTTTAAAAGCTAGACAGGCATCCTTTTTTTTAATAATATAATATATTACTTTCAAAGATAAATTTCAAATTTTTAATTAGTTCTTTTTTCTGGCAAATCTTTCTTTTTTTATACCATAATTTAAAAATGTAAGAATATCCTCCGAAAATTAATTGTTATTCAATAAAATATAAGCTAAAGAATGAAAATACTTTATCATATCTTTATTTATTTTTAATATTATTTCTAATTAGAATTTTTATTCTTCTTAAATTATTTTTATGAACTATGTAAAGATCATATAAATTACTAATCTCATTGAAAAAGATTTTTGAATTTAAAAAAAAAGGGAATTGCAAAATTTTAAAATAATTATTTATTATAAAAAATGACAAATAATAATTAGATAAATAATATATAATTGTTTAAATTTTTCTAGAGAATTACGAAATAATCATTTTCTTTTAATTATATAATATAAGAATAGAACTTAATAAAATGAATGTTGAAAAAATATGAAATAAAAATGAATTCAATAAATTTAGTTCAAAGATTACAACTTGTTTATTTACACCATATAATGAATGAAAATGGATCAATAATTTTATTAAAAATTATATCTCAATTTAAGTTATTTGCCAAAAACATTAAATTTTAAGAACACTTAGTTTAATTAGAAAATCTCTTCAAAGAATTATTAAATGAAGAAAATGCATTAAATAAATGAATTTATAATAAAAATTCTATTACTTTACATCTATTTTTAATTGTTAAAATTTTTACTTTCCTTTACTACTTAATTTTTCTTTTTATTTGTAATAATAAGAAGTTTTTAAAAAATTATTTTATTGATAGATGATAAATCTGTTGATATGTATTGAATTAAATTTTCTTATTCATAAAAAGTAGATTTGAATGAAGAACGAGATAAAAATAGAATTTTAAGAATGTACTAATACATTAATTTGTTTATAATTCAATTTTAAATTCATTTATTTTAACAAACATAGCATAAATATTCTCCTTTCACATATTCTTCTTAAGAAGGCCAATTTTTAAAGGTAAAACTTTCATAACACTTGAAACAATAAAGATTATCAAAGAATATAAATGCTTCTTCGCATAAGTCTCTTGGTTCAGAATTAACATTAATAATTTTTTCTCTTAAATTTCTTTTCATACATTTAGATTAACAATAATGACATTGTTTTTTTTTCTTACATTAATCACAGAAAGTAATTTACTTCTATAATATTTAAGCACATGATTAACATAGTTAATTTGAGCAGTTTTTCTGACAATATTCACAAATTTTATAATCTAAGGCTAGTTTTAATACCTTGTTTAAATCAAATTTAAATTATTCTGCACAACATTCACAAATTTCAGAAAGTTCATTAACTTAGAGACATCCTTGACAAGTATATGAAGAATCATCATTATTTTTATAGTTTTCATGAGTAGTTTAGAATAAATCACCACAAATAATACAAACAGCATTAATTTATTCAAAATTAAATGGTTTCATAGTTAAATAAGTTCTTGTTTGAGGTACAATTATATTATCTTCATTTCTCATTAATTATAAACTCTAGCATATTTGATTACACTTACTATGTTAAGTTTAAAAAAAGGTTTAAATTCCTTCTTACTCTAGATTTGTTAAATCTGATAAATATTCAATTTTTTCAGCAGTATGAATACATGGATCTGCAAACACTCCCCCTTTTCCTTATAAATCAGTAATTAATAACCTTTTATTAGTGAAATGAAATGTAAAATGACTAAAAGCTGAATAATTTTCTTTTTCTTTATTAATGAATGATGTATTATTAGAAATCTTTTCCCAAGGACCTTCAAGAGTTATATTTGTTTCAGCATAACACTCTTTTAATCCTAAAAATTCTGAACTTAATTAATATTTGATAGGTGTAACATAATAAATTGGAGGAGCTTTATCATTATCTTTTGTTTATGCTCTATATGCAGCACTTAATTATTTAGCTATTAAAGTTTAATTATATCTAACAAAAGAGGCCTTTTGAGCATCTTTGAGAATAGTCTCATTAACTTATTCTTTATTATAAAGATCAACATATTATTTTGGAATTTTAATGACAATCCTCAAATTATTTCTAATGTCAAATGCTTCATATATGTAAGATACTTATCCTTAATCATTTTAACTTAACTATTTTTTCTTCATTTCTATTTCTAGAATAGTATCTCCTCCTATTTAGTTTTTTCCCATTTAAGTTAGAAAATTAGAAAAGTAATTCATTTAATTTTTATCAGTACATTCAACTGGTTCTATTGGTTTATGCCAAATAAAATGAGCATTGAATCTTTTTTTACTTGATGATATTTATGAAAAATTAATTGAAGAATTTGCGTAAGAATGTTTCATTGAAATGGAAACATAATTTGCAAAATCTTAAGTTTATAATTAACTTATCTATAAATTCTTAAAGTTTTTTTTCATAGTTTCATACATGATATCTGTACTATCATTTAATTTACAACAAAAAAAATAATTATTTGGAATCTTCTTTTTATCTAAAGCTTACATAATTTTTTCTAAAGATCCTTCTTAAATACTATCTTTATAATAATCATCTTAAATATTATGATATTATTTGCCATGTGTAGGAGCATCACTTATTAAAAATGTACATAATATACTCTTATGATGTTTAGAGAAATTTAATATTAAAGATTATTAAATTGCTCCGGCAACATCTTCTGCAGAATCTTGACCACCTTCAGCTCTTAGAGTACTTATAAATTATTTTATTAATTGTACATCTGTAGTAAAATCATGATATTAAATATGATTTTTATCATTAAAATCTCTATAACCTATAAAAGCTATTCTTATTTAGGTTTCTGATACTGCTTAATTAAAGCTTTCTATTATTGATGATATACTTTCTTTAGCTTAATCAATCCATTTTTACATACTACCTGTGCAATCCATTATAAAAACAACATCTAACATATTCTATTCTTTTATATTTCGTTTCATTTATTCAAGTTTTGATTTCTCAAAAAACATCTCTAACTTTTAAAATGACTTAGTATCAAGTCTTTAAATTTAAGGCGTTTAACTTAAAGTGCAAGGAATTAATTTCTTACTTTTAAATTCTTATGCTGAAACATATTAAATATTTTCCCAATCAATATGAATTTTTGAGCATTAACCTTTTGAATCACAAATTCCTTTAAAATATTTAATACAATATTTCTCTAGACATTTATAATGTTTTTCTTCATCAATAATCGTTTCTGGACTTAGATTATTATATTCATATTCCTTTAGTACTTTTTATCGAAGTTCTTCCAAATCAATATGCTTTTATTCATTTTTACACAACTCCTCGCAATCATCATTATCTTATAAATATTTTACACAAATATTTTTCTTTATTATCCAATCTCTATGTAAATAATAACAAATATTATTCTCTTTTATACACCCAATATTTGAACATAGATTAAATACAAAGACACCGTTGATGGTAATCATTTAAAGCTTTCCCTTCAAATCACCTTTTTTTAAATGTTTCAACTTTTTAGGACAGGGAATTTGACAATTTCCATTTAAATTATTAACACAAACTCCAGCAAAACATCTTGGATGCATTAAACTACAATCTATTTATTTACACAATATGTTCTCTGGACATAAAAATTTTGATTATTCAACTAACTTTGAAGCCATATCAATTAAAAGAATTATTAAAAACAAAATTTTATCAGTTCTATAAGATTCTATAAAAAAAAAAATTAATAGAAATAACAAAAATTAATATAAGAAAGATAAAAATATCAATTATAATTAAACAAAAAATAATTATGAATGTTTTCAAGACATTATAACAATATATATCAAATTTTTAAATGTATTATTTTTCATTTTGATAATTTTTTTGGAATGAATTCTATTAAATTCTAATTATTAAATCATCATTTTGATAATGAATGTAATTGTTTAAGAAGCATAATTACAATCACTTTAAAAGAAAGCTCGCAATTATTCTTATGCCTGCTCATTAAATATCATTTTTATAATTGCTTTCATAATTCACCAACTTTAATATAATCTGATTACTTTTAATCCATAATTGTAATTTAATACATTTGAATATCAATTATTAAGTGATAATTCTTTTAAAGAATCTGAATGGTGTTTTACATTTGCATTTAACTAAGATTCAACCATTTTAGCTGCTGGATGCAAATCCTATATTAAGATATATAATTTTGCTAATGGAAAGACTTAATTAAATTAGACATTAAATAATATCAGTTTTGTTAGAACAATTTATTTTATGAAGAAATCATAGAGTTTTATTTCAGGAGAGGAAGATTCCACTATTTCAATTTGGCATCAAAATTCAAATAAATAATGGTTTTTATTTTAAAAACTTATAGAACATTCTAAAACAATTAAACATGTCATTATGAATAGGAATGAAGATCTTATCATTTCATGTAGTAATGATAAAACAATTAAATTTTGGATCAAATAAAATGAATGGATATGCTCACAAACTATTTCAAATCATACTTCAAGTGTTTTAAGCTTAAGTATTAATGAATCATAAGATAAATTAATCTCTTGTTCTGAAGATAAATCTATTTTAGTAATGGAGTTTTCAAAAATCACTAATAAATGGGTTGTTATTTAAAGAATCTTTTTAAAGGAACATGGAAGAAGATTAAGCTTTATAGGAGATGATTAATTTACATTCCAACCAAAAAATTAAGATTTATTATAATTATATGAATGGAATGCTACATCTAGAATTTTCAATTTAAAAATGCTAATTCCAGTTAATAGCACTAATGATCTCAATTATTATTTTCCTTAATAATTTATTACTTAGAAATAACTATTAATTAATAAGAATGGCAATTACATCAATTTGTTAAGAAAAAAGTCTGATTAAACATTCATTTAAGAAAATTTAATTAAATTTAATACAAACTAAATATTTGGAATTATGAATGATTCTGGAGATTATTTAGTTACTTGGGATTAAGATCAAAAATAAATACAATTCAGAAAATTTAGTGAATTATGAATATATTTAGTTTTAATCAATCTTTGAACTTATAAACATTTCATATCTCATAAAATTCTTATTCTATCAAATTAATACTTTTAAGTATTTTTTGATAAATTAAATAAATTTAATTAAGAAAGCAAAAATATTGAATTAAAAATAAAGATAATTTAATTAAAATCTGAAATATAATATTAATTA